ACCATCATCCTAACATTTCAAACTAGGATCAGATCTAAAGGACATGGGTCCTTTGGATCAGGCATTGCAAATGACTGGAGAGCAATCTTCATTGTCCTGCAAACAACCTCCTTCTGTCTACAAGTGCAGTGCACAGCATACTTGGAATGGTGTCAACAAATCAAGATGGGATTCAGCCACCTCTTTCTACACAGTATGGTGCACCTCTGCCACCATGTACATTGCATGCCATCCCCACTGAGGGACATAAACAAGGGAACAGGTATATCTGAACCTTGGCACCAGCCATTCTAATGCCTCCCTGGAGCACTGATGATCCTATGTCCCAGGGGAGCTGAATATGCAATGATTTCTTACTAATTGCATTGAATGCATGAAACTCAAATGCTAAGAGACGTATGTTACCCTACTAAGGTTGGTTTCAGGTTGACTCGTCGGTCTACGTCCGTCTACGTTCAAGTGAACCATAAAACGTTTTCTTCGAAAATGGTCCGAAGGTTTATTGGTTAAATTAACGAAATTTATGGAAGTCATCATAACCTTGTAGATTTCCCATAAAAGCCTTGCCTGGCATTCCATCTGTAGGCATGTAAAGTTAGTAACTATTTTTGGTTAACTGTGGTTGCCTCCAACCTTGATAGAATTTTTAAATTTCAAGGTTATTTTTCATTCAGAGCAACAGGCTTTTTTTACTGTGTCACAGTGATTACCTGCATCTGGATGCTCAGCTGAATTTTGGGAGGGTTCCTTCTATTGTGCATGGCAAATGCATTCAGAATTCACATATTAACATACTCACTAATTTGACACCACACAGAAAAAAAAACCATTACTTACACTCTTAATGACCTATTTCACTTAAATTTGAAAGAAATTCTTGATTCATGTTGGACTTAACACTATGTAAATTTCCTGTCTGTATCAAACACAATGCCCCATTTGAAGGCATTTAGAGATGGGAACTTTATTGCACCACAAAGTATTCAATACTTACAGGCTCTGCAAAGCTCTGTTTTCTGAGTTTGCTGAATATGTTCCAAAGGTCCACACAGTAATTGTTTTAAAGCAGACATTTAGAAATGAAAATAAATATAAGAAAATAAATTAATGGAAATTAAAAAAAAAACCTGGAAATTGTTGCCCAGTTACTACACTTAATGGTACCTAATGAAACAGGCAGAAATCCAAGGCTGGACACAGTGTTTAGAGACAAAAGAGAGATCTCACTGTTAAATTGTCTTATGCCAAAGAATGATACATCAGTGAACTGACATGTGCCCACAGACAAGAGGACGGTCACACTTGTATTTACACTCTTCATGAAGTCTGCCTCCCCAGCATTTCCTACTGAAGGGTCACGTTCACACGAGTGTTGGACCATTTTGGAAACTTGTACCTCTCAGTGTGTTGAGGTAGTTGAGGAGACCCAGGTTGTAAAAAGGACTTAGTGTCGTACCCTGGAATTGAAACACAGGACAACTAGAAAAGAAACAAAATGTGCCATTCATTTGAAGGACTAAACTAAACACAATTTCCACAAATGTTACTTACCTAGATTGAACACCTCTACTATAAGGAACCAGGATCTTGCACACCTCTGTGCATGTGTCTCTACATGGGTTTGTGCATGAATGACCACAAGGAAGTTTTCTCTCACAAGCCTTTGTGCAATGAGCTCTCTTGGGAATTAATGAACAGACCCCTTGGATTTCATGACCACACTCAAAGATGATCTTCTCAACATGCTCTAGGCAAAACCCACATGCCTGGCTGCACTTAAGATGACAATGGTGGCCACAGGGAAGAGTCTTGGAGCATTCCCTCATGCATTGATACTTATAGATGTCAACATGGCATGGCAACTTCTTGGGATGTCCACAAGGCAAAATGCAATCCATTACCTCCATGCAAGGGGGACAAGGGTATGTGCCACATTTCCCAAGGCACTTGTGTCCTTCACTGCACGATCTTTCACATGATTTTTGACAGACATAAAGGTCATGATTAGGATCATCCAATACATGACAGTTTAGATTACATTGATGTCCACACTCCAAGCGGGCAAAACATGGGATCTGGCAGACAGCCTTTGCAGGATCAAGGTGACAGGGCATCTCATAAGAATGTTTACAGATAGGCATTGTCTTGACTGTGGGGATATGGCATGGATCACAATTTTCCCAGTGGCTTTTGACACAGTCATGTGTTTGTGCAGGGCATTTCATTGAGCAAGTGACAGAGCATGTGAGTTTCTCATGTGCCTTATCATAGGCATGACATGCTCTCTTGCAAATGTGCCCACATGACATCTCCACTCCACATTGCAAATGACAGCCTCCACCAGCAGGGAAGTGAGAGGGCTGTGAAGCCTTGATCTTCTGATCTCTATGGACTGAGCATTGGAGCTCTAACTCTGGTCCAATTGCCTCCTGTTTCTCCAGAGTTGCCTTTATCTTTTTCCAAATCTGTGAACCACTGCTGAGTGAATTCATGTCCCCCACTATATACAATCCCCATTGGGCCCTTGACAGAGCCACACAGACACGGTTCTCTGTCTTCAGAAACCCTATATTTCCCTCTTCATTGCTCCTAACCAATGAAAGCAAAATGATCTTGTTCTCCTGTGGAACCTTCAACAGGTGTTGTCACGTAACCTGAAGGGATGTCAGGAGTATAACCAAGGGAAAGTCGTCGAATGTTTTCACTTTCTAATAGTATCTTACGGTCATGATAAGTCCGTTAAGAGTCACGAACCATGGATTTATACCTGTTTGAAGGCCAAAAGTTGACCAGTGTAGGTGGTCAGGATAGTGATGTCTATTGGGGTGTATGCATCCTGATGAAGGAGTCTCTGACACAGTGCTAGGATAAATTCTGCTTCAAACAGGTTCTTGTGACTAAGCAAGTCCTCCTCCTATAAATATACAGAGCTAAATTAGTGAGAAAAAATAGATAAATCAAACATTTTCCTCAATCAGCAATCACATGAATGCCCACCTGAGTTTCCTTATGCCTATGATTCACAAAGAACAGATTCACTGACATCCCTGTGATGCTTGGGTAGTCCAAGACAGAATCATGATCTTCAAGATCAGGATAGATGTGTGGAGTGAGAAGAGAACGGATGGCTGGCCGCATACGATGCTGAGCTCTCAGTCGTTTCAACTGAATCCCATTGTTCACAGCACGCTCAAACAAACTTACATCCAGATGATATTTTTGAGCCAACTCATAAACAGTTGGATTTGGTCTCAACTGTTGGTGGTCCCCTGTCAGAAAATTCTTTATTAAAGCTGTTAAAGGAATTTTGCACCTGAATATCTTGTAGACCTCATGTGTACTTTAGCCTGAGGTTAATATTTTAGAGTTTGTCTAAGAAAATCAAGAAAGAAGTGAAGTAAGAAAGTGGGGAAAGTATATGTTGACAAACTCAAATTTCAATAAACTTACAGCATTATTCCCCTTAAAGAGACTTGGAAATCCCATTAACTGACTCTAAGACCAATGCACATGACCTCTAAAGGTAAAACATAAAGGTCACCACCCAGTAACAATCAGCTTCATTGCAATATTCCTAGGGCTACCAACAAGAAGATTCAACAAAAATTTAGACATGTTATTCCTCATCACATACCATATAGGAGCATTTGAGACTGTTTTGGCTTGTGGTCCTTTATGTTGTTTGGCTCAGGATTGACCTTTTTGGTCAACCCATTTTTTCCAACAACTGTTCTTGATGTTTTAAAACTTACTTGAGGATAATGATCCAGTTGTAATGCTTTCACATCCATCACTCAGGACATTTGTGAGGGAGTCAGACAATTTTGCGGTGAGACAGAGGACAGAAATCATAATGGCATACATATGGAGGCAAAATTGTGGTGATACAAAACCTCCAAATATTTTACTTGAAGTTGAGATTTATATAAATCCTTAAAGAATGATTACTTAGGAAAATATAGCTAATTTATATTGCTGTGTGACTTATTGAACACCCCATACAAAAGGGTTGGATTTGTGCTTTGTGCAGGAAGAAAAAACCAGTCTGAGGATGAATGATGAGGGCAGAAAATTTTGTGGGCACAGTTACACACACACATACAGACATTTTCCTTGGCTATTCAAGCAGAGAATCTGAAACCCTAAAGAAAAGCCATTTCCAACTCATGATGTTTTCCATAGTGTTTATAATGTTGCTATAATCTGTATCATGCTACTTGACCTAAGCTTTCTGCTCCTGGTCAAAATGTCAGAGCAAAGGATGGGATTTTTGCAAACCATACTATGCTTCCCAAGGACATAGCCTGGGATAAAAGAATAGTCCAACAGTAGTTCAACAAAGCTCATTTTAAAGAGAAAAGAATGTGTTACCAGGATGTAAAAATGGAAATTGATTCACAATTTTGCAAGGAATTATTAAAAATGTAATATATGAATGTAAAAATATGGCCAACCTTAATTTCAATGCTAAGCTGAACATGAAGGTCCATGAGCCAAAATAGCATGCTGCATGGTGGGTGAAAAGGAATAACATTATCAAACTTATCTAACCTTCTTGGAGGTAGCCATGAAAAGAATTGTACTGAAGTTGGTTAATGCTTGGTGACCTTGACCTATGACCTCGAGGTAATGCAATTCAGTGATTTGGTTACTGAACCAGGATATTCTCATTTCTCCATGAGTGAAACAACATCAAATTTTGTCATAATGGTCAGTCAAAAATCACAATTTGTCCCTTTCTCAAGCTCTCAGCAGCCTATAAAGCCTTACAGATAGCACGTCCTCAAAATATTGTGGCAAAAAAGAAAATAACAATGGATGATGGCAAAACAATGCAGTAAGGGTTAAACACCACATATTGTAAATGCAGTCCATTTACTAAATTTTGCATTTGTTTTAAATTCATGAATTCCAAGAAACACAAAGTATCATGAAACTGAAACCCTTGAAAGTTTCTTTTTACCAAGAGTAAAAACTCCTCATCAGCTGAGTGACTATGCAAAGTGACCCTCCAATAAGGCAAGAGAAGATTGAAAAGGCTCTCCAGAAGAGAGGATTAGGGCTGTCACGAATGATCCATGCATCAAAACCACTATTGATGGTTGGAGGTATTGATAGTCTTTTCAACCATCACAATGTATCAACAAAAGATTTTAAAGGGGAAATGGATTGAGGCAAGTACAGAACAATACAGTCCGTCCATACGGGGAAAGGNCACCTTGGAAGTTGTCCACAACAGTGCATTGGACTTCCCTACAGTCCTCATATTGGTTCCCTTTCAGCAGCTTACAAAAGTGAAAGATTATCATAGAATGCCAGTACTATTCAGGCAATTCTCAGTGAAACCATGGATTTATACCTGTTTGAAGGCCAAAAGTTGACCAGTGTAGGTGGTCAAGATGGTGATGTCTATTGGGGTGTATGCATCCTGATGAAGGAGTCTCTGACACAGTGCTAGGATAAATTCTGCTTCAAACAGGTTCTTGTGACTAAGCAAGTCCTCCTCCTATAAATATACAGAGCTATATTAGTGAGAAAAAATATATAAATCAAACATTTTCCTCAATCAACAATCACATGAAAGCCCACCTGAGTTTCCTTATGCCTATGATTCACAAAGAACAGATTCGCTGACATCCCTGTGATGCTTGGGTAGTCCAAGACAGAATCATGATCTTCAAGATCAGGATAGATGTGTGGAGTGAGAAGAGAACGGATGGCTGGCCGCATACGATGCTGAGCTCTCAGTCGTTTCAACTGAATCCCATTGTTCACAGCATGCTCAAACAAACTTACATCCAGATGATATTTTTGAGCCAACTCATAAACAGTTGGATTTGGTCTCAACTGTTGGTGGTTCCCTGTCAGAAAATTCATTATTAAAGCTGTTAAAGGAATTTGGCACCTGAATATCTTAAAGACCTCATGTGTACTTTAGCCTGAGGTTAATATTTTAGAGTGTGTGTAAGAAAATCAAGAAAGAAGTGAAGTAAGAAAGTGGAGAAAGTATATGTTGACAAACTCAGATTTCAATCAACTTACCACATTAATCCCCCTTAAAGAGACTTGAAAATCCTATTAACTGACTCTAAGACCAATGCACATGACCTCTGGAGGTAAAACATAAAGGTCACCACTCAGTAACAATCAGCTTCATTGCAATATTCCTAGGCTTACCAACAAGAAGATTCAACAAAAACTTAGACATGTTATTCCTCATCACATACCATATAGTAGCATTTGAGACTGTTTTGGCTTGTGGTCCTTTATGTTGTTTGGCTCAGGATGTACCTTTTGGTCAACCCCATTTTTTCCAACACCTGTTCTTGATGTTTTAAACTTATTTGAGGATAATGATCCAGTTGTAATGCTTTCACATCCATCACTCAGGACATTTGTGAGGGAGTCAGACAATTTTGAGGTGAGACTGAGGACAGAAATCATAATGGCATACATATAGAGGCAAAATTGTGGTGATGCAAAACCTCCAAATATTTTACTTGAAGTTGAGATTTATATAAATCCTTAAAGAATGATTGCTTAGGAAAATATGGCTAATTTATATTGCTGTGTGACTTATTGAACACCCCATACAAAATGGTTGGATTTGTGCTTTGTGCAGGAAGAAAAAACCAGTCTGAGGATGAATGATGAGGGCAGAAAATTTTGTGGGCACAGCTACACACACACATACAGACATTTTCCTTGGCTATTCAAGCAGAGAATCTGAAACCCTAAAGAAAAGCCATTTCCAACTCATGATGTTTTCCATAGTGTTTATAATGTTGCTATAATCTGTATCATGCTACTTGACCTAAGCTTTCTGCTCCTGGTCAAAATGTCAGAGCAAAGGATAGGATTTTTGCAAACCATACTATGCTTCCCAAGGACATAGCCTGGGATAAAAGAATAGTTCAACAGTAGTTCAACAAAGCTCATTTTAAAGAGAAAGGAATGTGTTACCAGGATGTAAAAATGGAAATTGATTCACAATTTTGCAAGGAATTATTAAAAATGTAACATATGAATGTAAAAATATGGTCAACCTTAATGTCAATGCTAAGCTGAACATGAAGGTCCATGAGCCAAAATAGCATGCTGCATGGTGGGTGAAAAGGAATAACATTATCAAACTTATCTAACCTTCTTGGAGGTAGCCATGAAAAGAATTGTACTGAAGTTGGTTAATGCTTGGCAACCTTGACCTATGACCTCGAGGTAATGCAATTCAGTGATTTGGTTACTGAACCAGGATATTCTCATTTCTCCATGAGTGAAACAACATCAAATTTTGTCATAATAGTCAGTCAAAAATCACAATTTGTCCCTTTCTCAAGCTCTCAGCAGCCTATAAAGCCTTACAGATAGCAAGTCCTCAAAATATTGTGGCAAAAAAGAAAATAACAATGGATGATGGCAAAACAATGCAGTAAGGGTTAAACACCACATATTGTAAATGCAGTCAATTTACTAAATTTTGCATTTGTTTTAAATTCATGAATTCCAAGAAACATAAAGTATCATGAAACTGAAACCCTTGAAAGTTTCTTTTTGCCAAGAGTAAAAACTCCTCATCAGCTGAGTGACTATGCAAAGTGACCCTCCAATAAGGCAAGAGAAGATTGAAAAGGCTCTCCAGAAGAGAGGATTAGGATTAGGGCTGTCACGAATGATCCATGCATCAAAACCACTACCGATGGTTGGAGGTATTGATAGTCTTTTCAACCATCGCAATGTATCAACAAAAGATTTTAAGGGGAAATGTCCCATTGGATTGAGGCAAGTACAGAACAATACAGTCTGTCCATACAGGGAAAGGAAGAGGTGGCATGACCTGCATGGGGGTGATATTTCTCATCACGATCAAATCCTAGAAATGCTGGGAACTGACTGTGAAAGACTGGAAGGAAAAAAAATTATGTTGGATCGGAGACAGGAAGGGGGAAGGAGGGGGGGGAAGATTGAGAATATTTTTTTCTCTTGTTTCAGTCTTCCGCTCAATCTCATCAAATGCATGATGCAAAGTGGACTGTTCTTATACTCCCTTCATTATGAAATGTACATTGGTTAATTCCCCTTTCTATATTTCTGTCTTTCTCTTTAGTATGCAGACAAGTTTTTTCATAATATTTTTAAATTGCCTTTACCTCTTTACTTGAGGTGAACCCGAAGTGAATTTCATACATGGACATTGCTTATTCTAGGACTTTAGGGATGTTTTGGCAACCACCAATTTGGCACCATGGGCAGGTTGTTATCTGCCAGAGCTGCTGTCCAAAGAAGACCATGTAGTGCGAAGAGAAAAAAAATACATGAACACACTTGGCAACTGATTCTCAACAGCAATAAGAAAACATTAGAGCTGCCCTGATGCATCCATTGATGAATGGATATCATCTTTGACAGTTTACATCCGATAGGTTTCATTATTTGTTGCGATGGTCACACCTTCCTCCCACACCCCCTGATTACAAACTTGAGCTTATAGAAGAGGGATAGTGGTCCATGTTCTGACTGAGGCAAGAAACAATGGAAGTCAAACCTTCGCCTGATTGCGGCAAGGAAAGATTGAATCCTCCAGTTAACCCCCCCCCCCTCAATGCATCAATGTTTTGAAAACTACCATTGTGGCAGCCCTAATTAGGATGGATACTTTGTTCATTAAATGTTCCTTATATTGGATTAGGATTCATCATCTTCAATGAAGACCTTATTCTCTCCATATCCTTATTACAGCAGTTGGAATTTTATATATTTTTTCAAATTTAAGACCAGCAAATGTCTTCAAAAAGCAAATGTTCAGACTTCACAAAATTAAAGCTGTACTGACTTTTGTTGTTGGACAGTACCACAAAAATACAGAGAAGGAAGAAACTTCCGAGGTGCACAGTGGTGGGCCTGAAGCATTGACACAAGTTGAGTTTTTTAGTCATTGAAACATAAGGTCCCTTAGTAGGGTAAGATTTGGGTCAATTTGGTTTTTGAGTTCCACATAATAGAAGATTTCCTTGAATGATCATTATAATCTCTACATTTGATATCTTGTTCATAGATTGACAAACACAATGGATATGTAAATGTCATTCTGTTAAATTAAAAATGACAATTAAGTATTTGGGTCATGGATATAATTCCTTCAATTGAATTCCAAGATATGCTTAGAGCAGCTCCTTGGTTGCTATTGCAAATTAAAACCATTGAGTTCCACTGGCTTTGATTTATATTGGCTGAGCATAATTCCTTTTTTTTCTTTCTTCTCAGCTTTCCTCTGCCAATCCTTCCAGCAAGCAATGGCTCTATCAATATCCTTTTTTTCATGTTTTCCTTCCTTCTTTCATGTGTAGTATGATATACCATCACTAGTAGACTAGCTAATTGGCAATGATTGTGCTCCAGCCAGTGCATTCATAGGCAAGCTTTGGTTAGCCTAAGAAGGAAATGACTGGGGCAGACATGTATTTGTGCAGGGCACATAGATGAAAAGGTCATATGACACTTTATGAAGATATAGTGAAGGGAATCTGCAATTAATCATACAGTCCTTTGAGCATGGTTATGGTAGCTACCTTTCCTCTCAGAATAATTGACACAAATACCACCTTGCTCATTTCATTAAGCCAAATATATTCAGTTGTAGATGAGTTCACATACCAATCAATATGAGCTGCTGACAGGAACGTGAGAGGCATGTGACAATATGAGCTTCCATGACTTCACCAGCCTCTTCTACCATCACTGCATCCAAAATACACAAATAAAGAGAATGTCTCTTTCCTTCCTGGACTCAAAGTACTAAAAAAAACATGCACAAAGAGAGCAGAAGATATAGATTAAAGTCTATCTAATTACAAAATAGGCAGACATTTGACATTGTCTGCAAGTTTGAACATTCATAAAAATTTTCAGAGGGTAAATTCTGTTCAACAACAGGAATGGGATGACCATTCATCCCCTAGTGCTTCATGTTCCAGAATGGCTTCTTTTATGAAATCATGAGAATGAAGCTTACATGCACCTTCATTTCCTCTATACCAAGTTGTGGATTAAGAGAGCCTTCATACTGTGGCATAATATGGGGAGGGAAGGCAGTCACCCCCCCCATTGGTGCCCCTGTGATAATGCCTGAGCCTGATGCCCCCTTGAAGGTAATATATTTCTTAAATCTCTCTGGTCGGGTTTAGTGCCCATGCTCTGCTGTTCTGCTCCACTGGATTTCTCGGTCAGAATATGCCACTGCCTTCAAGCCAATGTCTTCTAACACCTGTCAGCCTAGTCACAAAATTATTACATATCCCATCTATTTCAAACATCCCCATTAAAAAAAAAATATGAATGAGAGGTAAAGCAGACAAGAGAGGCAGAGGGGGTCCCCAATTGCTTGGTCTATATAAGCATGAATAAAAATGGTATCTCTCATTCTATTTGTAATTCTTTTGGTTGGTAATATACAATATATGCAGGATCTAAATTGGGAGTTTACATGATGCATACTTGCAGTCATGAAGGATCTCAATCCTGAAATGCACTGCCAAGTGCTCAGAGGTACAACTTCAACACTGATTGCTTGAAGACTACCACTATTCCCCAGATAATGATTTTGAACAAACTGAAAATGAGAAGCCACAGCAAGGAATCAATTTCTGCTGTGAAAACTGCCCATTTACAAAAATCAACTAATTATCTTTATAATAGAAGCACTTATGCTGTGCAGGAACCTATGACTTTCAATAAGTGAGGAAGGTTAGCAAGAATGAGCTTTGATTAAAATTAGGCACATCTTTCACGACCACTTTCACACTTAAGGCAATCATTCCACACTCCAAGCTATCATTCACAATGGTTACTTTATTCCTCATGCCCTTCTCCACCCAGACAAGTCTCAGACTTGGAAATTGGAATAAATTGGAACTAAAACTGGTTTTGTGGTTAAGCAAATCAATGATGTGAATGCAAAATAAAATAAGCATTTTTAACAATCTATCTCTGAATAAAGCCTGGAAAATAAAATGACCCTAAAAAAATTTTTTGAATGAGTAATAAGACTGATTAAAAAAAAAAAGAAATATGCACACCTAATAGGAACTTTGAAACCTCAGCATTTCTTTGATGGTCTCAGAATTTAAAAAGTAATCCTGTTGCTGCAAGACAGTGTCACAAGTTCAAGAGACAGAAAGCTCCAGAAGATGAAAATCTTCAGTTACAACATTTTTTGCATAAGTGACAGCACAGCTAAGAAGAGTTCTTTGCATGTCCCTCCAAATTGATCAACATGATTGGGAAAATAATAACTTTGTCCTTCTTTGTAATTAGGCAGGGTTATGAAAGAATGAAGTCTTGCTTGTGTTTCTTCTGGTAGTCATGCACTAGATGGTGTTACCAGTGATACCAAACTAATTGCACCAGCCTGGTGTCATATTTCCCAGCCCTTTTTTGGTTCAAACAATTAATATTCTCCACTCTACACTTTGTCCACACCACACAAAAGGACAGCACAAAGCAATTGAAGCTGGAGACAGATTCTTGAAAGGGCAACATCCTCTGACTACTGGGTACCATTGGAATCTCCCTCAAATTAGCTTGTTTAATTTTTTATTTTATTATTGATCAAATTGATCCCAAAAGACACAAGGGATTTTGGCCACAAATTTGAATTTGATAAAATATTAGTAGACCTATTTCACAAGGGACTCCTTTACCAAACTCATGAAGGCAATCCTTTTTAGATACGAACTGCTTGATGGATTATATAGCAGCCTATTTATAAATACCCCTGGGTGTTTAACCCACTCCTGGCCAAAGTGCTCAAAAGTGTTCTTGACAAATTTGTCACCCCCAACCAAGCTGGTCGTGGGCATTCTTTTTTTCGAAGGACTCCTAGTTTCACCTGTTAGACTATTGAGTTACTATTTGGTGCTTTGACAGTTTATCCAGATTATGTCTTGTAAAATAATAAGGTAATATCTGGGGAACCAAGGCTTTGGAATAGGGATGGGAGAGGGTTTAAAGAAGTTTCCCATGACTGCATATGAAGTACCATACAAGATATTAGCAGGAAAACTTATATAGCTGAGAGAGAGATTCGCTCAGTGGCTCATTTCTCACTGATATGACATCGAGTGGCTGGCAAGATCCCCAGACCTCAGTCCACTCAACGTTTACCTGTAGGGATACAGCAAGAACGAACCCTTCAGGACATGCCAGATATTGCAGAACTCAAGGGAACGAGTCAACAGGTAGTTTGAGGCATTCCACAGGAAGTACTGAAAATGTCAGTACAAAGCTCCTCTCAACATCTTTGAGGTTGTTCTGCAGCTAGAGGTGCTCATTTTGCACTTGTTTTCTCTTAGAACAAAAATTTTTGGAGTTTCTCTGTGACTTTGTTTTTGTTTAAAGTGAATGTTCATTGTAATCAAAAAGTTATGGCAATTCAAAATGGTAAACATTTTTGTGAAACACCCTGTAGAATGCAATATTAGCAAATTAAGAGAAACTTCCTTCTAAGAATCTTTGGACCACTAGGCCCAACTATTCCCACTAGCTGATCCTGGGCTCCAGGTCCCCTGATATTATGTGGTTATAAAGTACCTAACCTTTCAATGGGGCTGAGCATGAGGCTAATAGACATATGCTTAGGAGACTCCAAACAATCCTAATGCCAGAATAATACTATTTGTATGAATTTACATTAGAGTAACAACTCCAATGTTTCATCTCTTCCCCTTGCACCACCTCCTTTGCTCCACATTGCAGAAGAAAGTGATGAAACTGGTTGCATAAACCCCAAATGAGACTCAGGCAGGGGAATAACTACTTTACTTGTAAGGTAGAGAATGTGTAGAATGCATTAAAACTGAAAATGTAGTACCTGTCCTTACCATGACTAGCTTTCAGATGAAGTTAGATGACTTCATGGGCAAAAAAAATGGAGCATGTGCATGTGATGAGGCAGTAGGTGGATGTGCTCCCACAAAAATATCAACCTTTAAAGTCTATCTTATTAACCCTTTGAGGACAGTTTTTTTAAACCCTTCAGGAGTATGGACATACCTGTACGTTCATGGCCCTCAAAGGGTTAAACATGAATGCTCCACCTTGACACATGATGTAAAATTGAATGGAAGCATCTCTTGATGTCAGTATACCTGAACCTTGAGTATTTCCCCATGATATAGATTTTAGTGATATATAATAGACTCACCAATTTTGCTTCCAATGTTTTGAAGCAGAGCTTGGTATTTAGCAGCACCAGTAGTGGTCATTCCAATCACTTTTGCATTCCTCACAGCAAACAGCTGTTTAATTTTATGCAGTTCTGTGCGTTTTTCCAAAATTTTCAAGAGGGACCAAGACTTCCTCACCAGCTTATCTTGAATCCAGACCAACAATCGCCCATGCCAAAAAGCCACCAATTCCAAGCACTCACGGAGGCTCAACTGCAGCAAAGTCTCTCTGTCAAGGTTCCCCTCCTGAAGGACTCTTGGCTTGGGTGGGATCCTTTGAGGATCTACCTTCAGCAGTGGTCAAATATGTTCAAAAAACTCCAACTTGTCACATGCCTTTATATAGTTCATTTCAGTTTCAATCTTTTTCACTTCATCTTGGGGAGAAGGGTGCTCCACATTCATGCAAATTTCACACATTTTAGCTGTAATCTGGACATCCTGCTGCAGATTTTCCATCAATATCTCCAATTCCAAATATTTATCAGGCTTGTCATACATATATAACATTTGATCACAAAAATTGCCTTCATGATGCCATGGCCTGTGAAATGCTAGGGTGTTCTTATACTCATCTTCACTGTCTTCTTCAGTGTCTACTTCACTGTCCTCAGCCAGTTCTTCATGCTCCTGCTTCACAAGGTCCTGCACAGGTTTTTCATGGGGAACTGTAGACTTATGTGCAACTTGTTCTTGGTGACTGCCATCTTGCATTTGTTTACACTCCTGCAGTAGGTTTGCCCTATCACCGATTCCATTCAGCCAATCTGCAAAATACTGGATAGTGCAATATGTCTCTTTATTAATGATTCCAATTTCCATCATGGTACGTGGAGAGATCAATGCCAATCCTTCCTGGAGGAGGGAAAGTCTCTTTTGATAGTGCTTCACCTGCTCCTTGATTAAATTAATCTGATATGCATGATGCTTATTCATCTCTCTGAATGTCAGAGCACAACCACTTGACATCATTACTTCATGTTCCCAATTTCTGATGTGGAATTTTTCCATCACACGTGATTTGGACCCACCCCCAATACGAACAATGTCACTTGTAAAAGATGAAACCCCATCCAGGAATTGATCCAAGGCATGATTAGTATAACATATGACAAGAATAGGGCCAGCTTTTGTGGTGATATCATTTTCCAGCAGGGTCTCTATGACTCTGAGCCCAATGTATGTCTTCCCTGTACCAGGAGGGCCTTGAATGACTGCAAATTCTTGGGTCAGAGCACTCTTGAATGCCTCCATTTGAGAATCATCAAGGCCAAACTCTTCTGCAGGAGGCCAGTTCCATTTGTCCTGGAGACAAATCATGGGACTAAAAAAAGTTTCAGAACTTCCTTCTGCCTGGCAATCACAATACCCCTGACATAATTTTTTCTTATTGGTGTCACTCAGCTTTTGCAGCATTCCTGACAATTTCTGATTGCAGGATATTCTACCATCATCAGGTCTAAAACTTGTACCAAGAGAAAGGTCAGAGAAATGATAAAACTCTGGCAGGAACTTAGGTGAAGCTTCCTTCACTGTCCCATAGACAATATAATCAGCAAGAGGAAAATCCTCTGCATAACGCTGCTTAAGGCACTGTAAGACATGTCGGTAGGCTTCAAAGTATGCTGATGATGACTCAATAATTATCTATTCACCCAGCTTCCATGCTTCTTGGTCATATGTGTCACTTTGTGGACTGATGGCAAGCAAGCCTCTCTTCAACTTTTTGGGGTCTCGTTTTGATACAGTCCCAAACATCAGATGGTTAAAGTCAAGATCTGCAAAGCAGAGGAGAGATCCCATCATGAATCTCTTAGAGATGTGCCAATCCACTTTTGAGAGTCGAGAGACATCAAACTTGAAGATGAAGTGACATCCACAGTAGTCATACTCCATATTTTGGAATTTGACTTTGGTGTAGACACGAATGTCCTGAGTGTGTTTCTTCCCCTGCCTTTCATTTAGATATTCCCTGAGTCCATTCCGTAGAGGTGCAACAAAATCCTCTCGTAGCAGTCGAAACTGGACATCTAGATAATGCTCAACATCTCTATATGCACCTTTGGTGATGTTGGGTCGGAGGAAAGGAACTTTGGCAGACAGAATTTCCTTCGAAGTGGGAATGATAGGAATGCATCGGAAGTTGTCTGGAGCAACCTCAAGATGAAGGCGATTCAAATCTGCACTTGTTCTTGAGATGCAAGATGAAACTGTACTACTTTGCATGACCGACCTGGCCTCTTGAGCGATGGTGAGAATTTCACCAAATTTTTCATTCAACTCTCCCACTTCCAAAGGGAACCCATGGGTCTGGAGATAGAGCAAGTTGTTCCTACAAGCATGAATGAGTTGCATCACATAGCTGCCAGAGGCACCAGGATACTTTTTCACTATTGTCCTTAAAATCAGTAAAAGCTGCTTCAATATCTGGAATCCCTCTGCATATTTGGAATGCTGACACTGCAGTTCAAGAACTCCAGAAGAGCAAGCTTCCAAGAACTTACTCTGGATCAACATTGTGAGGGATGCATTCACCACATTGTCACATCCATCCACATGGCACACTTTGGCAAACACCTCCACAAGTAGGAACACCCAGTCACTCTGACGAAAGGTGGCTGGGTCAGAGAGGAGTCGGCAAAAGCTTTCATTGGGATTCATGACTGCCATCACAGTTTCCAGGGGAGAAAAATTTGTGGCAATGTTTTGCAGCTCTTTGTATCCAATCTGGTACTTTGGCCTGAAGGATTTTGCTTCATAGTTTACTCTTGGTGTTTGCCCTCTTCTTCTTACTCCATTTGATCTTGGTTCAGTGTTTTCTTGCTCTCTTCTTGTTTCACCTAAGGTAGCATTAATGAAAATACTGTTCCACGTATATATGCATCACAGTTCCATGCAACCCAATGCAAATCCTCAGAGCCACCACAAGGTGCAAGGTTCTTCTGGATAATAAAAAAAAACGAGGATGTTCGTATGATCGTGTTATGGTCAGAGCAAACTGCATGAAGTTCATCAGTGCATGAGTGCCAGACTTACTACAAAACCAAAGCTTTTCTTTCCAAAATAAAACGGTTTTGTGCTGCAATAATCAACAAAACAAGCATGGTGATGAGGTGCCTGAGGCCACACACATTGACATGCTGCTAACACCATTACAAAGAAATAACTAAGAGAAGACTTGCTCTGTCCTAACTGACTAGATGGACTGGAATTCTGCAGTTCTTTTTGCAATCTGGGATCATCATAGTAAGGGCAGACATCTTCCGTCTTGCGGTATCCGCTGGATTCACACTCGCTTGATTGAGGGCTCTGCTGCCCTCTTTCGTGTCCTGTCATGTGATAGGGCCTTCTCCAATCAGAACCCCAATCGCTTCTACCTCTTCCTCGCTGCATCTCGTTAAGTCTCTCCAAACCACACTTGCTCACTTTCGGGGGAATGCCTTGATTTCAGTCCGTCACGAACTTATATCAATCAATATAAGGTATCACTGACAACCCATCTTGAGCCTGGAATGCTCAAGAGGAAAGCACCGAGCACTCCTGGAACCCTTCCCGTTTAATCACAGCCAACCCACACACTCGCCTGGCTCGGTCGATGGGCAGCCCCGAATCGCGCGTTCCCGCCTATTGCAAATAATCCGACCTTGAGCCAGGCGGAAAAGTCACCTCGCGAGGATGACGTGCTTCGCCGGTTCGATAGGGAACTAATGTAAACTAGGTTTATCAATAATAGGTTTATAAATAATGAAGCAGCTACGTCCCAAGACTGAGGAATCGATACCACCTTGTTAAAGGTCGGCTTCCGGGATTGATTGGAAATACTTTAATTCATGGATAACGTTCTCGTTTTTATGAAATTGCTGAAACATTCTGATGACTGCGAGGGGAGATCTGAATCTCGTGCAAAAAGTTGGGGAAAATCGGAATTGGCGGGAAAATTTGCATTTTGCAATCTGCAATCTGGTCTGCATCTCCTCCCCGGCATTATACACGTATAGAATGGCGGAAAGTTTCAATTCGCAGTTTCGGCGAATCGAAATTTGCCTTCGTCCACAGGCTAAAAAAAAAAAATGCTGCAAACGTTTTGGAATCCATTTGTAGATGATTCGTAAATCATTTTCGGGTCGACGGTGACAACACGAAGTCGGACATGACTGTCAACAAAAATAGCTCCACTTGCAGCGTGACGAGGATTGCAGGTGGAAATTTCAAAGAAAAGCTTAAAAGGGGCCGTTCACAAATTACGTAACGTGATTTTTGAACTTTTTGACCCCCCCCCCCCTCCTCCTTCATATTTTTTTTAAATAATAATATAAATAAAAAAGTAAAATCCACTTGAAAAAAGAAACTCCTTTATTAAACACTCTTAACTAACACTTTGGATAGTACGCATTCAGGGATTATTTAAATGTTTCTAAAAATAAAAAAGGAAAAGTTTTTTCTTTCATACGGTTCCTTCTTCAAGGAAATAATTTTCCTTCGTCTATGTTCATTTTGATTGATGGTGATCACCCGTTTCAGATTTAAAAAAAAAAACCGTAAACGGAGACGGAGAAGTGAAGGGTAGAATGGTGGAAATGGAGATCGCGATGCCGAGAGAGAGAGAGAGACGAACTCGGGCAACGTCCAAAGCGGGACTGAGCCTGTTCCGCCTGTCTGGGTAGGTCCAGGCACGAAACTGCGACTTGCCGAGTTTTGCAACAGGGGAAGTCGGCTGACGTTCCCACGCTCCCAATGCACACTCCACTGTTAGTAAGGGTAGTGGGTGTGGGTGGGAAATAGAATTGGCTCTTGTGTAGCGTGAGTCATTTCTTACTAAGCAATTACCCTTCTAAGAAGAAATTCCAGTCGCATAATGCATTTTTTTAAATGAAAAATAACTTTTTACGTCACGTTCGTGCAACCCCCCCTGCAACAAACCGTAACACTTTGTCTGATCCCCCCCTCCCCCTCTTATTACGTAATTTGTGAACGGCCCCAAATTCCACTCCGGTAAATTTTGTAATTATTAAATTCATGTACAAACATTGTTTCCATCACTTTTCCGAAAAACAGCCGACATTACGAGGCTCTTCGCCCATTTAATAAAAAACAAAATGGACTCGCTCCATTGTCGCCATCAATTCAGACGCCCTAAACCGAGCCAAATGCAGTCGGCCTGGAGCACGACGGCAGACACCTCCACCTCCCACGTCGCAACATAGATGTCACTGTCCATCCTTCACCCAGCGCGCGCACATCAACAGCTCGGTTCGTGGCCGAGAAGCGGACTAAACGAGACACGCGTGTTTTACGTTGAGGGACCCCTTTGGGTCGAATCCCCGATACCGCTGCCACGAAGTGCGCCTCACGGAAGTGTCGTTCATAACAAGCCACCAGATGTCTCTGTAATATTTCGAGCCCCCACCCCACCCATGGAGCGTCGCCTCTAGTTACACTCTCCGCTCTATGCCTGAGACTATTCACCACATACTGTTAGATTATATAAGTTATGAGGAGGAGAGAAACATGATGAAATTACAACTTCAACCAGCTGGGATCAATGCCCCTTTAAGTTTATCACTACTAGTTGGAGACGTGAAATACAATGGCCTCCAAACTTCGGATGCAGTATTAGTAGCCTATATCATAGAAGCTTTCCTTGAAAATACAGGTATTCTACTCACATTATAGACTTAGTGGTAACAATTTTCATAAGTTATCCATCCCTGTGAAACCTCCGAATTAGCAAAGCCCCTTACCCCTTGTCCTGTCTTCAAAGATCGGCGCAGTGGGGCAGTAGACTAAAATTCTGGTAGAATGGGACACTGTTCGTAATGGGTACCCCCTTTAGTTAACATAGTGAATATTTTCCAGGACATGTTTCCATCCAGTGCACTGGGCCAAATTTGCACAAGACAAACGGCCCATTAAAACCAACTCAACTCAACTCTACTCCATGCTAAGGCGCCTGGCACCTCGGAGCCTCGCGTCACGTCGTCTAGCGACATCTAGGATCTCTCCACGTTCAATGAGGAAGTTGAAGTGTCCTTCCACTTCCTGCTTCTTCTCTCCGGCTCCACGAATTCATTAAACAATTCACGTTGTTAGGGCGACCAAAGACATGGAAGCTACACTCGACCGGCGAGATATTCTAAGCTGCAAAATCGAAGGGGGGGGGGGGGGAGGGATTGTTTCCTCAAGTCGTTCCTCTAATCAAACTTCAATGGAGACCCAAGAGGAGAGAGGGACATTGCATATTCTGGGGCAGATTCTCTTCCCAATGCTTGTAGCCCTTCATTCCTGTTGTACGGGCCAGAGATTGCGTTTACGCGCAAATTTACGCCAAATGCACTAATGCCCAAAAGGAGCGCACGACGGAAGAACATCAGGATTTCGGGGGGACGCAGGTGCAATTTCTGATTTTCAAGACTTGTTGCACCTCTGGAATGAATTTAAAAAAACTGCCACGATTGCTTACAGACTAGTGAGTTTCCGGCAAATACACTCGCAATGGTCGCGCCTTCTCAATTGGTAAAACTGCATTGCTTATAGGCAGCTTTCGTTGTGACGTAAGTCACTTCGCATCATACGTTGTCACTGGTAACACCTAAGGTTGGCAAAATTAAATGAAAGGAAATTCTTAGCATTCACCCCGAGATCCCGCATTGAATTTTTCCTTCATACAATACCGTTTATAACAAAACTAAACTAACACCATATAAAAAAAAGCACAGTTGTTATAATAAAGATGACTGAATAATGTAAGAACAGGTAATTTTATTTCGGAGCTTCACAATAATAAAGGGATGAGGCGGGAGGGCCAAGTAATCGGACAAATCAGCCGGTGTAGTCGGGGTTCTTGCGTAATATGACGAAACCTTCTAGTACGGGAGTGAGTGAAATGTATTCTTCGGTTGCCAGCTCGGCTCTCTCCCCGTGAGCGAGAAGAACCGGAGTTGTGTGAGTCTGGAATCCTGTTATGGTTTTCGGTTTCCCAGCCTGCCCGACCACGTCCACCGCCTGCAAAGACAAAGTAAAGCAAATCACCCATATATTCATCTTTTTGGCATTTTATATGCAGAAAACCAGCACTGCACTGGAAAGATCAACAAAGAAAATACACAACAGTCCCGAACTAGATCGCTTGGCTCCTGCTGGTATCCTGCAGGATACGGTACGGTATCATGTAGGTGGTCCATATTGTACAAACCAAATCTAAAAAATTATCAAAAGTCAAGCAGTCTCACCTGACCGACTCGAACCGTGACAGGTAACGGACGGAGATCTTCATCAAATGTGATCAGCATTCGGGGCTGCATGGCGGTCACCAGACAATACAGGAGATAATGGCTCTTGCCAAGTATGACTGAAAAAATTATAACAAAGTCCACCTTTCACACTTCACATTCAGATACATGGAGGAGAAAGAGGGTAAGATATCTTACTATTTTTACAATCCAGGAAAGCCAAAAGTGTTGTAAGGATTCCAGCAAGGGAGACCGGAGACAAGAGCTGCCTGTCTGAATGATAGGGGCTCAATGACAGGGTCCCCTTCCCTAGATGAGTCAGTCCTTGGGCCAAGCGCACCATAAACAGGCTGGAATTGCAAAGATACAGTAGTATCATACACTTCTGAGAATTGGTGTTAGCACTTACTAATATCAATAATGAAGCCATTTTCTTATTCTTAACCAAGACTCCTCATGATTCCCTCATTGTAAGAGTCTCAGAAACAAGCAAAATGCATGACAATAATTTCAAATACATGTCAATCATGACAATGGAAGGTCACATTTTAAATGCATTTCCTCACAATGAGTTTTACCCAGGTTCCCTTCCAGCTCAGCTCCCATTCCCATGATACCACAGGATTTAGATTCTTTTGAATCAACCAACAATATGACTTGCAATTAACCCTATTGTTTGTGTATTTTTTCATCTTCAGTTCTAGTCCTTTTCATGCAAAATTATTCAAAAGCTCACTCAATACTAAAAGGAACATCTTATTTCAACATTTCTTATCATTATGTTAGCAGTTGTACTTACTGTAGGCACACAACCAATCAGTTGCCATGGTTACCATTGTGTGGAGAATATCTAAAAAGATCTCCTGCATCAAGAAGTGCAGCACAACTAAAACTTAGGGGGATATATGCAAAACTTGATTTAAAAACCATGTTCAATCACATTAATTTAATTGGAGAGTGAAACAGTTAAGGTGCCAGCAAAAGTAAAACTTTGGAAGTGAGAAATACCTGCTGGGATCCTTGGCATGATATTGAGCCAGCTGTCGAAGGAGAGCAGACAAACGGCCATTGTTGGTCCCAGCTCCAACCAGTCCCATGGAAAAGATGGCATTATAAGCCACTTGGGCATCACTATCATGGCTGAATTTGCTCAGTGTATCCAGGATGGGAAGCTGGGGCCGTGAGATTGAAAGCAGGCCAAGGGCAAGGGGGACAGCCCTCCGTATTGCTGGTTCGCAGTATCTTAGCTGCAAGATAAATTTATATGTAACTGCAAATTCATGAAAAGCATGCAGTAATGAGGAAAAAGTCCATTCAAGATGAAGGCACTCTTACAAGATGGCCAAAACTACGGAGAATCATCTCGGCACCGATATCTTCTCCCATGGCAATGACTGCAAGACCAAGTACTGCTACAGCCTGTTGAGAACTCAAATCAACCACCTCATCCTTCTTGTCCTCCTTCTCTTCCTTTTTATCCTTATCCTTATCCTTCTTGTCCTTATCCTTATCTTTGTCCTTGTCCTTGTCTTTGTCCTTTTTGTCTTTAACCTCATCCTGAAATTAAGGAGAAGCATTCCATGAGTTTTGTTTAAAACCATTACCACTCAGTTGCATGTAAGTGCTCTGCATATTATTATAATGTGATCATCCTTACTTTTTCAGATACACCCTCATAGTGCTCAGAGCATATATGAAGAAGGTGCTGAATCTTGAGGACATTACCAGTTCCAGCATAAGCACATATTTCCACCAGTGTAGTGGACATCGACCTGAAAGGCTCTGGAATCACTGACAAGGCTGCTATAGTGGCATCTGCCATCTCTTGCTTCCCTGATATCAAAGAAGCAGGGCATCACATCACAGGTTAAAAAAGAAACTCACAGAATTCAAGCTACTTGAGACCATGCACTCACCAAGATAGCAGAGACCAATGCCTAGAGGAAGAAACCGTGCATATGTATCATCCTTCAGCTCAGAGGCGGACTTTTCCATGAGTGTTTGCAGGATGGCAGAAGTGACATCTCCATTGCAAGATCCTACAGCAACTAGGCCACATGCTGCAGCAGCCAGACCAACAACTTCAGCACTGCTTTTCGGATTGGAGAACACAGGGAGAAGGAGGTTCAAGACGTCTTCACGGTTGGAGCCTGCATAAGCCAGACCAAGTCCTGAGGGGAACAAAAAAAGATTGGACAAGTTTCAGTCAAGGTCAAGGAATGGTATTTAATTAATTGTTGGGGGATTTTGCATGCCAGGTGTGAGTAGATATGGCTCATACAATAACATCACCTGTTTTTACTAGGAGTATTAAGCAGAAATTCACATAATTTTTAGAAATTGAACTAGTTAATATCTGCCTTCATAAAGGAAATTTACAAATGATGAGGATGTATGAATGTAATCCAAAAAGTTACACAACTCATCATTCCACACTTAATTATATCGTTTCTGGCAATTTCTGCTTAGTCATTAGTCATACTAAATTATCTTGTTTATATAACTATTCTCAAAGGATTCAACACAGACATTCTTGAAATGGATTTTTATTGGATTTACCAGCATTCAAGTATAGCTAGTATATTCTACAATTTCAGTGCAAAAAATTAGACTTCATTCCATTGTCATACAACTAAAAAGTGACTTACATCATTTAAAAGATGGTTCAAGTTATCAAAATTAGTTCATTCACTTCATTCTGATGCATATATCTAGAGAGATCATTTCTAGTCTTCATGAGACATCTAGAACATTTCTCATATAATGTCAGTTCCAATTGGTCCAATGAGTCCTCTTTTCTTTTTAAGATCACCTTTTGAAATGTAAACTCCCTAATCTCCACATAAGTCCCACACCCCCTAATTAGGGGTCCTTTAGGGGATAATATTGTCTTGCTGACATACCAATGAAACTTTTCTCTCTAAAATGAAACAACTTGATCTCTCTTTCACGGGGGACCCATGAAAGGCCTGTTTTTGTTTTGGCTCAAAAATTTGGTTCCTTCTCATTTTTCTTTTTCATTTAAAGACTATTATATACACTCTTTTCTTTTTATCTTTTCAAGATCTGCTTTACTTTCAAATGTGAAAAGCAGAGGATATGGTAGAAGAGACAAACCCAGAATGGCTCCAATGCGAATGATGTTGTTGTTGTGAAGTACATAATCACACAAGAGAGCATAGGCAGGATCACATTCGCTCCGTACACAGGCATTCACAATCCCACAAGCAAGCAATGCTCCAGCCTGAAAGAGAGATGGTATTCACTTTAACACACACTAACAGTATGGTATATACCTCATCATACCACATCCCAATTAAGCATGCACAGGATAAGATGTACTTGCCTTCATCTATTAACAATGACCTCCCCTCATTCCATGGGAAAATATCAACTTAGTTGAAAACACACCTAAATTCAGTCACATATATATATTTCTCAAAAAAAAAAGTTGGAATAAGATGACTCCTTACATTCAACCAACATCCACATATACCAAGAGGTTATATATCATGGTAAGCTAATGATATGAATCATGCATGCTCCAGGGACATGATAAATAATTCTGAACAAATGCTGACTTAACTACCTTGCAAAGTCAAACTAGAATAGTTGAAAACATAATAGATCATAGCAGAACAGTTGAAATTGTCTGAGAGAATCAAAATGAGCCCAACTCTAACCTTGATATAATCTTCTCCAGAGTAAAGGTACTTGTCAATCGTTGTAAGACCCCCATCAACATCCCACAGCAAGATAAGACCCAGGGATGCTGCTGCACTCAGCATACCTAAGGAACAAATCACAATTAAAAGATGAGCAGGCCTACATGAAATATATTCATGAGAAGCAATCTGAAGTGGACCTCCACTCAAACCATAAACTTATGAGAGAGACTCACAGGAAAGTTTTTCCATTTTAAAGTGACAAGGTAAGGATGCATACTTACTATTAGTGATAAGTCAAACAGCATGATTGGCAAAACCACCACTAGGAACCAGGTTTCATGCATGAAAAATCTAAAAAATATGCACATAAATATATACCTGCAGTAATGCCACAAAAAATAGTATTGAAAAAAGGAAATATAGAAAAACATGCATTTCAAAATGCAATGAATATTGGGAATGAGAAATAAGAGACATCATGACATAGGTACCAAAGGGCTACGACATTGGAGGAGGGCTTGAGGTGCAGGTTTTCTAGATGTGGCTATTAAAAAATGCATTTGTGCAGCAAAATTCTTCGTTTCCCAAAAACGGACCCATCAGATATGACTGCTACAATAGAACTGGCAGAACANCACAAAAAATAGTATTGAAAAAAGGAAATATAGAAAAACATGCATTTCAAAATGCAATGAATATTGGGAATGAGAAATAAGAGACATCATGACATAGGTACCAAAGGGCTACGACATTGGAGGAGGGCTTGAGGTGCAGGTTTTCTAGATGTGGCTATTAAAAAATGCATTTGTGCAGCAAAATTCTTCATTTCCCAAAAACGGACCCATCAGATATGACTGCTACAATAGAACTGGCAGAACACCCAGACTTAAACACTCCATCAGGGGGTTACATTGACCACAGTTCATCTTAAAAGTCCAAAATGCAATTAAATTTATTACTAGCTCTTTAAATTTTCCAAAGTAACAAATTTCCCTCCGAACAATTCCAACCTATATCATGATAATCCTGACATTCACACATATGTTCAAAATTTCAATACAGTTTATGCAATAATTTTGAGGTGATTTCTACCAATGCCAATAACAGCATTTAGAGACAGACTAGAAGTGGGCTCTTTGCTTCTTGAAAGAAGGCTCATAGTTGCACAGAATATCATGCAAGAAACTCCTTGTAAAGAGTTCTACATGGCCAAAGAAGACCACTACGTATCCTTCAGGAATATGAAGGAAATGCAAAGCCCTTCCCTCCTTTCCAATAAAAAAAACTGCTAACTTTAACTTTCAATTATAAACCAATCTCCTTCTTCTTCCTGATCTCCAATGCATTCTGCTTCAGATACTCCACTACCTTACCTAATAAGTATTACTAGGGTAAGAAATTAAAAGAAAAGGTGAATCCAAAATTAAGAAGAAAAAAAAAGGAGAATGAGGAAGCAATACAATAAAACATTATAAAAATTTAAAAATCACTTCTTTTTTTTCCTACAGGGTAAAGAAAACACATGTAACTTTTCTTAGGAAAGTGTAACTTTTCTTAAGATGTGAGTGACCTTGCATCAGGTTACAAATGTACAAACATACAAAAGCACAGAATGCTGATCTCTCTTTAGATGTCTTTACTGTCTGAGTGGAAATTTGCTAATAATAGATCAGTGACTAACAAGGATGGTTGTGGTTCATTCTGAAAAAATCTGCATTTACATCATGCCTAAAATTTGTTTCTAATCATGCCAAATAGGGATAATCCTTACCATGCTCCTTGTTCTTATACAGCCAGGTGTTTCCATCCTCCATAAGAAGCTTGTCTTGACCAAAGGCAGCATTCACAAATCCATTAACAAAGCTTGAGGCCAAATTCTGTCTGGCAGAATCAACCTGGCCTCCACCAAATGCTGGCCGACTTGGTTCCAAGTGAGTCTTGTAGATATCATCAGGAGTTTTTGGCTCCACTATGTCCAACTACATATGCACCAAACACAAAAATGTATTTATGTGATGGTACCTTTCTAAAATGAACTACAAGTATTCAAAGTGAGATGGGCATGGAAAACAACATGACTAGCTTCCAGCTCTCCATGTGCTCACATAATTTCTTCTGAGAGAAGACCAAAATACCTGCTTTGGGGGTATGTGTTCAAAATTTTTGCTTTTCCTTGAACGTTCTTTCCCTTTATGATTTTGGTAGGGATACTTTGTGCTTTTCAGTCTGGCAGCTAATGTTAATATCAGGTCCTGCAAGGTATAGTATATAGACCAGGGGTCTCAAATTTGTTTAAGCTACATTGTCAAGATCAGACTCCTCTGCAGACCAAAGTTTAAAATGATTTGAAAAAGTTGAATCTACCAGTACAATATTGGACCTGAAACATTTATCTCCTGGAGAATACAGGTGGGTCACAAATTGCATTGAGAGCGTTTGCAGTTTGAGACCCCTGGTAAGGACTGTTCCATGTTGAATGGGTGCTGCCACATCTTCAGTCATAATTCAAGTACTATGGTTCTTTACTTCATTATATCTGTCATGAAATCCCCCTCTCAACAACTTCTGTTCCAAAAAGCCAGCACAAATGCCCACTGCTCAATATTTTCCATTTCAGAAGCAGTGGGATGAGAAGCAAGACACATTATGGTGGGATCCTGAATTCTTGCATGATTTGCTTGTGTTGCCCAAGGACAAAGATACATGGCACACAATATTGACTCTCTATGCTTCTGCTTCCTACTATATTTTTTATTCTGGGAACTTCAAAGTTCCTGTTCCCCTATAAATGGCAATTATGAGTAATGATGAAGTAATTTCCTTGACCATTCTAATATTTCATCAGAGTTGCTGATGAAATAACCATAGCATATGATAAGATATGAATCAGTCATGCTAAAATATTTTGTGCTAAGTTTGGTTCAGGAAATTTGGCATGTCAGGCCAAAAAAATAGCCCTCAAAAGCACTCTTCCTTAAAATCACAGAAATGGGAGGAAGGGAAAACTACCTCACGAGCCAGCGAGAGAAAATGTGCATTTAGGTTGGCATTGGACATGATGTCAGAGATGTCTTCATCCTCAACTTGGGGAAGAAAAATTTGCTGCCTACCCAACAGGAAGGCCAGCTGCTTCTGCACAATCCTGGAAAATAAACAAAAAGTCAAGAAATTTATTCAATGGTACTTCTTGAACACTTCATTCAGGTCATCATCAAAAGGATTTGAGGGTTGATAAAAGGACAATTATAATTACTTAGATTCCTTCTCAAACAGATGATACCTCATTAACTAAACTCACGGATTTTTGCAGGAGAAAAATATATCTTTGATAACATCCAGATCATTGAGCTGCATAGCTAGTCGCATGGCCTGAATGTGTCGCTCAAATTTTCTTGACAATGCCAGGGCTGTCCTCAACAAATTAGTGTTCTCTGGGTCAGGCACATATGGGACACAGCTGTCAAAAGAAAAATATAATGTGCTCAAGAAAAAGTCACTTCATCCACAGCTTAAATTCCATATCATTGAAAAATTACCTATGAAATCAGAGCACTTCATTATGTTCACAAAAGGCTTTGGTTAACCAGGAATACTCTGAAGAATAAAAAATTTGAATCGAACCATGCGACACAATAGAGCTTAAAAATGCAAATTTTAACCCTTTGACTGTTAAAACACAGGGGGCTGATACATTTTCAGATAAAAATTGACTCTGCTTGTCTAAAAACAATAGTTTATGCAAGAAAAGGTCATATCATGATAATTATTGAAGATAGCAGTTACATGCATGAATACCTATGAAATAACCTAGAAACAGTGAATGTTCTGAGCCCAAGAACATACCCATGCTACCACTACACAAGCCTGAGTATGTACTTGGGCAACAGCCAAAGGGTTAATGGGAAATTCAATGATAACAATGAAAAGCACTCTATTTTCCACCTTTTTCACATGTTGACTACAGTTGCCCACTAGACACTATAGCAGCATTGTTATCATTTTCTCTGCATTCAAAGCACTAATGATGGTTTTGAATAAAAAATTAATGCAATTTAATGAACATATACATCATATAACCAAAATTAAATGAAGACATGACAATTTGGAGGACAGATTCTGGAGATGTATGTTTTTGTAAACTGCTGCAATGTGGAATTCTTCTGCACCCTATAGGTTTGGTGGTAGAGTAATATGCTGTTTTTTTACACCTACTAAGGGATATTCTGCATACAGTTGGAAATCCAACAAGGTTCACACAAATATCCTGTCCTCTATGAGTCAAGCAAAGACACAATTTGATAATGATGGCCAATAAGGGCATCTTATTGCCCCATTGAAGATATACAATTTTTCTCATTTCCTCATACTGAAAGAAAATGCAAAAAATTTGTTTAGGTTCACGTAACTGAGTGTGGAATTGGCATAAACAAATGTGACATAAATAATACATCAAATTGACCTCATCACAAGTAACATGGAAGCTATGACTACCCAACTTACGTATAAAAACAACTGAGACAATGGATTTAACACAGGATGCTGGCAGCTAACAATCCAAAAGCATACAATGTGCTAATATCCTGCATGACAACTAATACATTAAACTTATGAGACCAGAATAAATCTGAACCATTCTGTTTGATGAAATTTTGGCTCAACTGAATGAAATGCTGTCAAGCTTCTTTTTTGTCATTTCAATCCCTTGAAAATATTGTGGCTTTTTAAAGTCCTAAATAGAATTCTAGCAGAGAAATGTAATACTATCTGCATCCCAAGAGCTGTGGTGCTACCTGCATACCACTTTCAACCCACACGAGTATTCAAGCAAGGTACCTTGGGATAAAAGTTTGAAAACAAGTATACTTGGGTTTGGTAGTCTAAAGATAAATAATAAAGCAACAAGGACTCACCACTTTTATGATATAAATTGAAAAGGTGGTCTAAGCAGGTTCCAAAGGGGGGGGGGGGGGGGATGAAACAGTTTTTCTGCAATTCATGCAAAGCCTAATTGCATTAATGAAGCTCACATATTGCTAAAGCTAACTAAAATTGACTTGAGAAGGGCAAGAATTTATTTGTTAAAAATGATTTGACTTCATGAAAAATTGACTAAATTCACATATGATATGAACAAGAACCATGTTGCGGTTCTTGTTCGTATCATTTGTTCATTACCTTGTGAGATAGAGACAGACACGTGGATAGGTGTTCTCATCTACATATTTCTCTAGCAGGTCCAAACGTTCAATCTCCATGAGCAGATCACATGCTTCTGCTTCAGCATTGTGCTGCATGTGGTAGGGGACAATATCCTTGGTGAGAACCAAAAGTTCATCCTTCTTCTTCTGGTTCCCATCTGGAATTTCTGCCCATTCCTGGGTTATCTCAGATGCCAAATGCCTGAGGGTAAAATTGACAATACACTGCATTAATGCTTGTCATTTTTTGCATCATGACTTTTATGGTGGCAAGTTCAACAGACATAGGCCTAAATGTGTTAAATTTAAAAATCATTTGCTCTTCACTCACCTGACATATTCATGTCCCCAGTCTCCAATGGGTTCTAATGAACCTATAAGGCGATATTTCAAACAATCTCTTGCATCACTCATTGTCATAGCAAGGACAGAAATGATGTCAGCACAGAATTTCTTTGTGCTTGGATCCTTGATAGTTTCATGAATCTTCTTCATGGTGTCAAAATGAGGTCTCATGAACTATATAGAGGAGAAAAGAACCAGACAACATATACACATCAGAAGTACTAGAAGCCAGAATCCAAATAACAATTCATAAGAGGTTTACTCTGAAATAAGACCAACAAAGACATGTAGCAGTAGATCAAGAGTGGTTATCCCATGTCCAGTGGGCTGGATCCATGCTACCACTTCTTTTTTCTTCACTAATTTGACACCCAACATAAAAAGATTGACTGCACCAGCAATATGTGATGCTACCTTAGGCCTAGGTGTCTTGAACAATGTTCATCTTGTACATAACTGAACACTGATTTAAAATCCAGACTACATCATGAATGCACACTGCTACATCAATGTTTCTAAGTGGTCCCTATACACACATGCCTATTTGGCAATGGGCATGAAAGACTGGGTTGGGATAGGAGCTGGGTCCTTAGCATGCACAGCTCTTCTAGCAAGCTCATATCCATTCTTTTTAATCAGCCTGCACTCACAAAAGCAGCATAGGTATATAAGATGAAGTCAAACTAAGCAAGAAAATACAAATTATGATTTTATTCCTATTTACTTAACTTGAAAGTGGACTTCACCAAGATAATTGCTTCTACTTTCGCTTCTTTTGAACTTAGTCAAGTACTTCAATGTCAACAGAATTGTAATAAATTTTAAGTACTTGGAAATGAACTCAGCAGTAACAAATATTCCTTTTCTTCGATTATCATGATCACAAAATTATTAAGTGATCAAGATTAGGAATGAGTGATATGCTGGAAAAAATTCCAAAGAAAATGAAACCTTGCTGGCCAAAAGATTGTTGAACAAACATGTTATATGGTGATGGGTAGAGGCAGGGTTCAAAGAACATTCTTGGACCTCTTTTCCCATCCCTTGCTACAATGCCTATCAGCAAAAATAAGAGCATATCTCAGAAGCAATGAAATACCAAGTACTTCAATAATTTTCATGAGGTATGAGACTATGCAAGTGATGAGGCACCAAAGGGCAAAAGTGAATGTGAAAGCACTGCATGAGAGGAGAAAATGAGGAAGGGAGAGGAGTAGAGCAGGGCTCAGCAAGAAGGCAACCAGGAAAGAGGGAAAACAGCAAAAATGAAAAGGATCTATCGTGCACAACACGTAAATGTCAACTTTCACCTCAAGGAAAGATATTCATGGTGGAGTCTGGGCATCCTAGTAGGGCAGAAGACAAATAATGCTGAGCATATAATTGCTGTCATCTGCATACTGAAGCAGTCAGATTTTATAGCCATCTGAATAGTGCAGATGCCAAACAGTTTTCACATGCCTATGCCTTTGAGTTATTATATGAGAGAATATGACAAACTCACTTTGAGGGGCTTAGGCACAGATGTCATTGAAGTTGTTGAAGACCGAATAAGTGTTCTCATGGTTTCCAGAGCTGGTCGATATAAAGACTGGTTTGGTTCCTGGAAATATTGAAATTATGACAGGAGTCTGAAGCATTGCTCAAACAAGGCTAAACTTGGGTTACCAAATAGTTAAATGCATTTAAAAAGTTCTCAAGGAAAATATCTCACCAGAAGCCTTTCCACCAGCAAATTCAACTCTTCCTGGAGCAGCTTGTCCTCTTCCGACTAAAAAAAAGAATAGAATCTTCAGTACTTTGGAATGCTTGAGCATATATATATATATATATATAAAATAAAATAAAAAAATAAAAAAAAATATATATATATATATATATATATATATATATACAACCCTAGGCCTAAGCATATCCCAGGGACCGTAAGGTACTTAAAGCATTGTATGAAGCAGTTAAGTTTTGTTTCATTCATACCTTCACACCCAATCCTCCTCAATTTCTTTCCATGCAAGATGAATAAAAACGACTGGTATTGATTGAAATTGCTGTAGAGGGAATTATAAGCCCTGTTTTACTCATTCAATGCAAAAAATTTTGAGAACAAATTTAACCAAATAATATATTTAGGTGATTCTTTCTTAAAACAGCTTCACAAATTCCTAGATCTTACCAAAAAAAACAAAAAAACAATTATGGTATCACTTCAGATGCTCTTTTTATTTTCATCAAGCTATCCCATGACCTACTTGTTCTGTACACCTCCTCCCATCTTTCCATCCTGTTTAGGAATCAAAGGTGTAGACTCCATGAATAACACAAGGAATGATCCACCATCACACTAATAGTTTTTGCTTCATATGTGTGAACTCCCATAACAAAAGCACATCTTACCTGCACCCTACATTGGCTCAAATGAATGTCAGAGAGCTTCTCTGATCATCAAGGACTGCATGTCTCAATCACAAACCATTCCCATTCCAAGGCTGCATCTCATAAAATTGGGTGGGATGGATATAAATCCCTCAAGCTGTCAACATAGCAACAATACTTCCACCCCTTCAACAGTTATTCATTTATGAGCCACATATGCTTCAGGCCTAAACCCCCATGAACTCAGGGCTCCTAATACATCATGAATATATGCTTCCTAAATCAATAAGCAAATAAAATTACCAACTTTTCCCAGCATGGAGTAAACAATATATTCTATATGGGGCCCCTGATTTTTTATTTCTTAACCCAAAGCCTTGAAAATGACAGGATCCACAAATCCTTGAACCAGGTTGTAGGCATTAGTATCCCATCATTTCTTGTAAGAAAGAGCAAGAGAGCGACTTTCAGAAATCATTCATAATCATCCAGATCCATAGAAGACATACAAAGTCACATCTTGCAGAATGATTACTCGTTCGACTAATAAAAAAACAGCCTGTCAATATTGTGCTGAATGATGAATTTTACTAGTCTACTACCAGTTAACTCACATTAATCATTCAAGGAAATTAGATTTAACACAAAGAGTCAAATGAAAGAATACATATGCTGATGCATAGAATCAAGTGCTATACAAACCCCTTCATGTTGAGAGAATGATGGCTAGATGCAGATGGTACAAACCTACTATCTTCATGAATATTCTAGTGGGCGGAAATCAAAGCCCATGATGTGACTGCATTCACAAAATTGAAAGGGACCTTTGATAAGCCTACCAGTGGTCTGAAATACTGATGCAATCTGTGACAAGCCAAAAGACAAAGATGGCAGGCACACAATATGTCCTCTATATGCAGCACATGCATTGGACAAGATCTCACTACAGAATGGATCATATGTATGCCACAAATACACTGCATAGTCTCCCTATTCAATGCAAACTAGGCAACTCTTTAATAGGCTAGTAGTAAAACTCACAACTCGTTTACCAATCAGCTTCGGTCAAGCTTACGTTAGGACAATTCAAAACCTCATCTGGGAAAGCCATTGACTTACCAGTTCTGGTTCCTTTTCTTCTGGCTTCTTCTCCCCCTTCCCTTTCTCCTTCTCTTTTGCATCTTTTTCCTTGCCCTTCGTTTCTCCCGCAGGCTTCGCAGGCTCAGACTTTTCGGTTGTTGGTGCCATATTCAAACGATAGGGTAGGCCTGGGCCCACTACTACTATTCAGTAGTGGTTTTTCTTCAACAGGAAAGGAACGACCACAAACAGTATTGACAAGCGCCTGAAGAAGACCGTAACCTCACTTCAAGACGGAGCAGGGACAGCGGCGACGAGCAATGACCAATGTGCAGGAATGCGCTTGCGTCAAAATCACGTCCAATCAAAAGTCAGCAAATGCTTTTCATGGCTGCCTGCACAAGCGGTGGAAGCACGTGGTGTCTCTCTTTTCGGCTCCCTCTCCGAGTTCATCTCGAACCGTAGCCAGTATTGTTAGCCCATGGGAACCCCATAACTCGGCGCAGGTATACCTGACGGACCTACGGTTAGATTTCGAGGCCGTAGGCGTAATTTCATGGGTCATTTCAGCTGGTACCCATCAGCAGAGGTGTGGTTGTCTTTCTGTCATCCTCAGTCCTCTTCTCATGCTGACGAGATTACTTCTTCCACCTGCTACTGCTCCAAAGCCCTTCTCAGGTAAAACGGTGATAATTTTTCAACACTATCAGGGACAGAAAGGAGGAGAAATAAAATCGATATTTGTAATACTTTTCATCATTAGAAACCATTTACATGTATCCCCTGTCCCCTGCATCCAATTCCGTCCCTGTTTGCAATAGGACACTAAGTGTCAATGTATAAATATTTTAAAGTGGAATATACATTTAAAAAAACACCCTTGCATTCCTTCCCCACTCAGTCTAGATGCACCAGCATGAAGTTTGAGCTCTTAACGCATTGACCACTGCCATTTTATATAATTCACACTCCACAGCAATTTGAAAAAAAGTTTTAAAATTATTAATATCCAATCTTTCATATTTTTTACTCAGCCACAGAAATTCGAAAATATATTAAAGCAACTAGTAATATCCAGTAATTCATCATGCCATGTTAGAAATCAGCAACCACATGGTATTGTTCAAAGCATAGTATGAGATACCTCATACTTGGTGGTCAATGTGTTAAGATCCTGAGTTGTTAGTGACACAGTCACTTTTTCTTTTACTATTTTGCCTTGTGTATTTATTTATTTATTTCATAGTGAGTCTCATCATCATCCATTGTGTGACTCATTCAAAATGAGTCTATCATGAAAGAGTGGTCAGATGTGTACCTTCACTAATGGTGGAAGGATGCTCATTCACTCTTGCATGACATTCTTGAATTTTGAATTCATTTTTGGGACTTGGCTGCACAAATTAGTCAACACTGGTTTTCTTTCCTTACTCTACCATTAGTGATGATTACCTGCTGAAGTGGGGAGTACTTGGGAAACCTAAACCACAAAGCATCAAGGACATTGAATCCAACAAGCATCAACAAGACTTTTGTGAAAAGGTAAAGTCCATTCTGTTTCATATCAGAAATGCAATAATGCAGGAGAGCTATGCCTTTTTAGCAGCAAATACTTGCATAACTTATTTGTGGTATTTGTTATGCCATGCTTCAGGATCCTGCTGATTCTGTGGTTTGTGACATCATCCACTTGGTGATTGAGGAGGCACTTGGACTCAACAGGAGAGGTAATAATTTGGATACACCTACAAGTGACCTAGATCCATCAGCAGGAAAACCTTCTTCAAAAGAATTTCCCTCAGAAGTTGCTGAGGAACTAGTTGATGAATCATCAGTTTTGAGCCAACTAAATGGCTTCATAAACAGTGCTCATTCCTTGAATTCACACAAAGACAGAAGCAGAGCAATTCTCATTGAAAACGAGAAATCAGACCTCATTGGGGAGACTGTGGACCTTCTGCATTCTTTTTCTCCTGGAGAAGAAATCTGCAAGACTGACTCAGACCATCATTCTTATTCAGGACAGCTGAATGGCATTGATGTCAATATTCCTGATGAATTAGAGAGAACATATCCATATAGTGTTCAACATAATCCTGATGCTTCTGCAAGTTGTGCCACCAGTGCCATTCAGACAGTCACAGAAGAAAGAAAGTTATCTTTGAAGGAAACTTCGCCTTCCATTGCTCTCGGTGCTTCTGAGAGGTATTTGCAAAGCAAAGGAAGCTTTCAAGAAGAACTAGACTCTTTCGGAAAGTCATTTGTGACCACACTCCTTAGTGAAGTCTTGAGAGTGGGTGCAGCAAAATATCATTGCAATCAAGCTGTTCAGCTGAGAGTTGGTGAGGAAAATTTGAATGAAGAAAGCACTCAGGGGCCTTTCTATACTTGTGAATCAGGGTGTTGCAGTGCATTATCAAATTCTGAACTAAATAGTAGTGAGAAAGATCTGACTGGGTTAGTTGAGGAGATGAAACCCCAAAATCTTCCTCGAACAAAGCACAAGAAGAAGAAGAAGAATAAGAAAAAGTCAGCTGGGAAAGTGTTCCCCTTTGTTAAGTGAGCATACACATTTTCCACAATGGACAGTTTCAGTTATCCTAATCTCAAGAAGCCAATCTTCTGTATTGCAGGAGGGATTCTGGAGTTGGAAGGTTGCTAGAATGCCTCCGCTTGGAAGCTGAAAAAAATTCAGTAAAATCTGAAGAGCAAACTACAGATACTCCTGAGGAGATCCAGCCAACTTTGCCTGCCATATCTGACTGTTTGGATGAAGAGGATAGCACAGAAGATACTGAAGAGGGAATATCAAATCAGAAGAAGCTGACAAAAAAGTGAGTTCAGTTTTCTTTTTTCGTTCTCCTTCAAAGCCCAAAGTGCAAATAATGCAGGATGTAAGAACAACTATCATTCCAAAGGAATATATTTCTCTTGATGTTATGCTGATGTCTCTCTTTCAGGGCATTATTCTCAGTAGGTTTCTTTATGAGTCAAGTCCTTCCCAAGGCTGTTGCAGAAGGAAAAGATGTCCAAGGAAGTGATGACAACACATCATTGGCTCCTGTTCCTCCTCCTGGCCCAACATTCCTGGCTGAGTAAGTAATAGGGTCAGGATTAGCAGTTATTCCTGCCTATAATAATTTACTGGATGCTCCCAAGCATAAGAATGACTTGTGCTGGGGGTGTCTATTTCCATTGGTTTAAAACAATGAAAATTTTAAATTAAGCTCTCCCATGATATGACACCATCAGTGGGAAAAGAATTATGGAGGCCTTTCCAACTATAAAAGATACTAAATACTCATCCCACCTAACCCTTTCTTGCCCAGTGAGTCCATATGGTCCCATTAATATTATTTGTGCATAATTGCTTTCAATTTACCTGTTCCCATTTGGACCCATGTGTGGCTTGCCATGGATATCAACTTATAGGTTGGTAGCATATAATTACAATTTATAAAACAAGTGAGGACAATAGGTAAATGAAAAAATGATTGGCTACACATTAATGAAGTTAATGAGTTCATATGGACTAACTGGATCAGAAAGGGTTAACAGCTAAACTTTAAAATGAACTACAGCAATTGGTCACAAATAGTGAGTACTAACATAATGGTACTGACACATATCCATGTATTCTATTCTTTTTATGATTATAACATCTTACAGAATTAGTAAACTTACTCCTCAGTTTCTCATCTGCATTATTTGCCCCCCCTGGATTCATCCCGCTTTTGATTTTAAGCACTCACATTTGATCTCAGATGGACCCACTGATGATTTTCTCAAACAAAAATGTTATTGAACTACCTAGCATGCAAATATTTGCTCACTGATGATATTTCTTAACTTTTTTGCTTCCTAGTTTTCTTAGTTAGTTGTCAATAATTTTTTTGCCCTTGTCAGCAATAATACCACAATGGAAGCAAACTTGCTCTCCCATTATGAATGTTGGCATCTGAGGTTAATTGTTAACAAATAAGTAGGTGAAATTTCAGAACCACTGGGATTGAAAATAGGCTTTCATAAGAAAACTGTACTGTTTCTTAATATTTGAAGCATTATGACTTCACATCACAATCACCAAATCACAGCTGTATTAGTACAAGTCAAATTTCAGAGTGTGATTTTGATCAGGTTCAAATCAATTAATTTGATTTTGCTAGTGATGAGGAAGGGCCAGATGCAGTTCAGCTGAAAAAAGTAAAGAAGGCATTTGAGGACATGGGCTATGCCTTTGAAGCCCCAAAAGGTATGTATCAGAGTGGCTTTGCACATTTTTACAAAACTGCACTTCCCAAGCATCTGAAGCTGGATTTCGGGAAGGGAAACCTTGCAGTCCCCATGGACTTTGAACAGGTGAGTTTTCTACAAATATTCAAAGGGACTTCATGCATTTATTTAAATAAGTGGTTTTTTTTTGTTAGCAAGGAAATATCCATTTTGGGAGAGGAAAAGAGGTATTCTTTAATGTGGAAAATTTTTTGCATGTTTAATGACTCTTGTCATTCTCTTTAATAGGGAATAAATCTTGAAGGTATGCAGGATGCAGAAACTGAAGAGATGTGTGAGATCCACCCTTGGGAAACAGACGCTGAGGTCACCAATATGGGAGATGGTACTGATGATAGACTCAATTTGGAAGCCTCAACCAACACTAATGACAGCAAATATGAAGAACAAAATATTATCGACAATGAGGAAGCAGGAAGTGATGACATTCAAATTATCGATTGTCAGGACAGGTCAGAGATACCACGGACTCGTTACAAGAAGGAAAGAAAGCCAAAGCTTGAGAGGATGCTTCCTACTCCCATCCCTGATGATTTGAAGTCTATCCCTGAGCTGCAAAAGTATTGGGCTCAACGATACCGCCTGTTCTCTCTCTTTGATGAGGGAATTAAGATGGACCATGGTTGGCTTCATTTCAATAAATTTGAGCTTTCCCTTTTTTTTCTGTTAAATTGATTGCAGAGTTTTCCTTTTCACAGAGTCCTGGTTCTCAGTGACCCCAGAAAAGATAGCAGAGCATATTGCTGAGCGATGTCGATGTGATGTGATCATAGATGCCTTCTGTGGTGTTGGTGGAAATGCCATTCAGTTCGCTTTCACCTGTGAGCATGGTGAGGAATCGTTGACATTGCTCTGGATGGACTAATTGTAACATTGGTTCAAATGCAGTTTTTTCCTTGCAGTGATTGCCATTGACATCAATCCAGAAAAAGTAGCATTGGCACGCCACAATGCCTCTCTATACGGGGTGGCCGACCGCATCGACTTTGTTGTGGGGGATTTCTTTGACTTGGCTTCAAGACTACAAGCGGAGGTTGTGTTCCTCAGCCCTCCTTGGGGTGGCCCTGCTTATCTCAATGCAGACTCATATGACATGCATCACATGCAGGACATGAATGGCTTTGACATATTCCAAGCTGCTCAACAGATATCGAACAACATTGCCTACTTCCTCCCCAGGAACACAAATGTTGAGCAGGTGAACCTATTGATATCTATTCAGTATTTCAAGCCATTATAGAATTCAGTTTATCCCAAAATATTTTAGGTCATATTAAATTTGTTCATATTTCTTTATAGCTGGTTCAGCTGGCTGGTCCAGGTGAGGCAGTAGAAGTGGAGCAGAACTTTCTCAACAAGAAATTGAAAACAATTACAGCATACTATGGTGATCTCATTGATTGGAACTCTTTCAACTCTTGATTCTCTGACTGGTTTTTTTTGCTTTTTTACTCAACTGTTTCTTGATAAAGTAAGGCTAATAAATGAAATTAAAATGTTTCATTCTCCTGTTCATTTTCCTCAAATGGCTCCAGAGATTGCACATAGTTCCTATAATAATTTGTGAGGTAGCCTGTCTGCCCTAGAGATGAACTAAAAACAGTTCCACAGTCTTTTTTGCCTACACTCAGGGTACAGGATGTTGAACAAGGAAAATGGCAATTTAAACTATAAAGTGAAGAGCCAAATTCTGACACCTATGTTTCATGACTTTATCCCCATTTGACACACCTAATCAAATTCTTGGTATAGCATACCAGTTAAACAAAGGGGGAAGGACTGTGACAGTAATCCACCTCCATCTCCTTCGTTGAATTGAAGGAAGTCCTTCTTTAGCTAAAGCTTGTAAATGCACCCTGTAGAACTTTCACAAGTAAAATGCATTTGGCTTGAAAATGTATGATTGAGAATTGCATTCCTTAGCCAGCTAAGTATTTGTGATTAATGCCTGTTAATCACAAATACATGAACCTTAGCCCAATTAACTATTAGGAATGTTACACCCTTGATTTGGACATCACTTTATGAGGCAGTATTTTTTTGGAATAAGAATTGAATAACTATCAACTATAAATCAAGACAAGTCTTGGTTATCCTTAGATCCCTAAAAAATCTGGGCATCCCAGCCATGACATGTTGGAAATAAGCAAATTAGACTTCTGCCCATGGCCAGATGTAAAATGTCCATCTCAATAAAAAAAAAATTGATGGCAACAAGTAATTTGCAGCCATGTGTGGGGCTTTCAGTGTTAGCAGTAAGGAATATAATCTGATGAGTAATCAATATTGAGCTGTTACCAGTGAATGCGTGTCATGAGAGGGGATGGCAAATCAAACGTTTCATTTAAACAGTAATGACAGTGGTAATACCTGTTAGTCCAACATGCCAATAGACAGATCAGACAGGTCTTGAATGGGAACTACTATCAAACATGGTGTAGTTTGACCAACAGGAGAAAATGCAATTTTCAGAAGCATGTAAGGAACAGGTAATTCACAAGACACCAAGTAATGACATCTCATGCCTACTATGTAAACTTTATCCAACTTCATCCCAAATCTATTGGGAAGCACCACCCACAAAATTAGTTCTGTTCAGTGCTCTGCATTTTCATTACATCCACTTCCACTTTCATGCTCTGTATTGTGTTAATTGAAATTTATGTAAGATTGAAATTAGGTTTAATGAAAGAAACTTACCCAATTTGATGAGAGGTCACTTTTCCTATCATAAAAAGTGGTTGCCATTGTTGCCAAAATCGACTTTATTAGCCAAGAAATTTTTTAGCCCATATGACAAGCCTAAGCACTGCCAGTTCATCCAGAACATGGAATAGGAGTCGACAGACAATCTCTGCCCATAGAATTTGTACAGTGCAATTTCACAGGAGCCTCTGCATCAATTTCCAAGCTCTGCATTGTCATCAGCCAAGAAACATCAGTCCAGGCATTGCACTCCTGTGCACAATGAACTCCCAAGAAACAAGGGATGGGCCCATCGATGCAAACATCCACCAGCAATGTTACACAGTCACAGATGAACACTGATGGCCTATCTGGAAAACACACAGTGAAATCAATCTTTGGCACTTGCTGTCTCTTCTTGGTGCCTCATTGTGATGGCCATGTCTTCCACGGAATAAAAAAGGACAAATTAAATTTCACATATAATGAATGCAGTTAAGAGCTCTAGCAGGTACAATGCAAATAGGAAAGGATGTTGAAATCGCCAAAGGAATTTGGGTGAAAAAATCAAACACAATGGGAGAAAAAGGAACAAAATCAGTTCAGGTGCGCTCTAATGGAGAGGCACAGTAATTAGCTTGCAAAGAGAGACGCAGGTTATTGGATGGATTCATAGGAAGCAATGCAGTGCGTGCTGAGGGGAAACGTTCGTGATATCGCTCCAGGCGCAAATACTTCACCGTCACCAACTGACCTGCAGATCAAACGCAAAAGTATATAAAGCTGAGCATACTAAAGGGGAATTTCAGCCATAATATCCTGAAATGGGCTTACCATCAAACCACCATCCATGCAGGGCTTTGTATGCTTTCCCTGCTTCTATTGGGGAAGAACATTTGGCATATACAATGCCTTCAGTTGAATTTCGGTCTACAGCCAAGTGCACAATCTCGACACCCTCACACTTCTCAAGAATGGCATCTTGGATACGCACAGGCCAATCTTGTCCGCATTCACTATAAGGATGTGATATTTATTAGCAAAATTCATGAAATTAAGAGCTGAGCAATGGTCCACTGACATCACTTTCCCGCTTTTCTGAATGTAACAGCTGCTAATCACTATTTGTTTAGGATGAACTGATGGGGGTAAATAGCTAGCAGGCCAATGGTAAATTATGACATTACACACTTCAATTTGTGTCAGTGCTGATGTTGAAAGGGGCAAACAGAGGGAGGAAGAATTCAACAAGTTATTATGCAGTATTATGCACTGTGAACTGACTTTAACACACTTCCTCTCCATACAGTTATTTGCATGGGTGAAGCCAGCACATGTGCATTTTCTTGGAAATGAAACTTAGGCATGGCAGGATGTCCAATGCTATTATTTTATATAGTTTCTGTAGCAAGAAATAACAATCTTGCACCTATGAAATACTAATATTTTCCTGGATGAGGCAAGGCACCTACTATCTCAACCAGAAATGCATACATCCTCAGTCCTTGGCCTACATTTTCTTAGAAAAGAAAGGAGAACTCCAGCAGGATTTCAGACACATCACAAAGATGCCTGAAACACCTGCTGGTGCTTTTTCCTAATTCTGATACAATGCACACATCCAAACTTAAAGTATACACATGAGGGGAATTTACCAGTGTAATTCAGCCATTTTTTTTGCCAGAGATGGTTAAACATTTACTGAACAGAAGAGAATGAAAGTTAATCCAGTGTCCATTACATGAATTTTGTTGTATTCACTATTGATGTCTTTGGCATGAGAAAACCAGCATCAGTACTGATGATTGCAGGAAATAGTTAAAAGCAGCCTATACCAAGAATAATTTTTTTATGATCATGCTGCCCAGCCACTTTCTAACAATTATCTTTACTCTTGGATTTTTGCAGGCCACATAAAGAATGTAGGCTGAAACCCAAAGAATATACAAGGGGATAGCCCAGGACTTAGTTTAGCCAAGGTTCAATTCTTGATTCATTATGTAACAGCACCTGATATGGTTGAATAATGATGGATAATGATGATTCCATAGTGAATGGAGAACTCACACATCAATGTCAAACATGTTGCGTATCTTGAGGCAAGGCGTCGGTGGGTTGTGGATGGGGTTGGAAGCAAAGGCCTGTCCCTGCCAGACTTTCCCCATGGGATTGTGGCCAGGAGGAGACTTAGGTGAGCCTACTGAACCTGACCCTGGAGTAACTGGACCCATCCACCGCCACACTTCACATTCCTCTCCTGCTACCATTTGAATTTCTTTGCGAACCTGTAATCATTATTAAGAGTAAAACCCAAAATAAACTTTCATGTTAAAGAAATGAGTATTTATATCATGCAAACTCCCATTTCAAAGACAGGATGAAATTATTTACTCGAGACTCATTATCCTCAATGAATCGCACAGCTGCTTCCCAGACAGGGGCCTTTTCATATCTTTTCGCTGGAGGAACCAGCATGTCTCGAAGGTGATGGACAACCAAATAAGGCTGCTCTGGATTTTCTATGTGTCTGGTCATCAGTGCCTCCAAAATGTTCTGTACATAGACCATCACTTCTTCCTTGTGGGCTGCCCGTGAGCGTACATCCCAACGCCACACCATGTAGCCACCCCAAAGAACACCCAAAGCTGTGGAGAGAACATAATCAGAAAATTTCTTAAAATATTCAACAACACAGGAATCTGACCAGATTAAAGAATCATATACCAATCAGCAGAACCACTACATTCCATACTATAGTTCTGATAGTCCTGGTGAACATACAGCCATAGAACTTGCGAGGTTCTTGAGCCTCGACACTCTTAGCTAACTTTACATCATCCACTTTCTCTCCATCTTCACCAAACACCTGGATAGAATATGACATAAGCACAATGTATCAAAGATGGGAGTAGTGTTCAAAAAATAAAAATAAAGAAAAGCTTGATTTCAGCTAGACTTAGATCCATATCTAGATCAAACAAAATTGAGATATTTCAAAAGTTCTCAAATATAGAGATCTCACCTCAATGCCCCACTGAGGGTTGTTAAGTACCAACAGCAATACATTCATGAGTCGCTTATTGAGGTTCTCTTTCGTCATTGATGTTGATTCCATTAGAGCTCCCTGTAGCTGTTCCAAATCCATGCTACCTTCTGATTTGTTCTCCTCTCCATTGCAAAAAACATGGAGGCCTTTTTGAGTTTGAAGGAGCTCAATGAGTGGTTCCACTAACATCACTGCCTCCTCAAGGTCAGCCTTAGAGATGCAGTTGTCCTGCATGAAAATATTTAGATTAAAACTATTGGACCTAGTGGAATTTTCAAACATTCTGATGACATTGGCCTATCTTACCACAGTCTTGTTCGTGCAAAGTGGAAAACGGGTCTTCGCAGCTGCAACAAAAAACCAAAGGGCAAGTAATAAATAAGCTAAGGGAGTGAGAAAAACTACGTCAAATCTAGACAGTAAGACAGTGATCTTATGGAGAGGACAAAAAGAAATGATCCAGACTCACCTTCCTGCATTGAAGTGCCAAAGGGCATGGACTTGTAAAAATAAAATGCACCAAGAGAGAGGAAGAAGATGGCAACACACCCAAGAATCATCATGGACATATTCTGGGAAAGCCACCTCCAAACAGAGGATTTTGCTTTGGGCTTGGATCGGGCAAGGAACACCGACCTTGCCTCACCTTCCATCAAATTCTTATCTCTCTCAAACCCATTCGGGGTCATCAGAGATGATCTCAGACCGGAGGACATTGTCGATTCCAATCCAGAACTTTGTGAGCTCATTCCTGAGAATACATTGCGCTTGGCAGTGTTGAATTTGTCTGATGTGAATGTGGAAGCAGTACCAGTTGAATAGGTAGCATCAATGGAATCAAGATATGATGTGCCCAGTTTTGGACTGGCAGTTGGTTCCCTGTCCGAAGTTTCTCCCCTCGAAGACGAAAAGGATCCAAGAGCTGATGAAAGGCGATGCCGCATGGACCTAATGGTTCCATCAAAAGGAGTGCTAGTGCTAATAAATGAATTCCCCATTTGGGATCCTTCTCTGGTCAAGTTGGTGTCCACGTCGGAGTCCGAGAACTCGGGCTCATCCGACGAACCCAGTCCGCACCACCCTTGTCCTGGGCCTGTAGGTCTGGAGGCATTAGCTCCAGTGATGGAATCGGGAGGATTATTCCTCTGACTCCAAAACGCTCGCTGTGGTCTCCACACCGGCTCCTGATAGGCATTTCCAGCGGACGCATGGTCTGTGCCAGGAGACAAGAGTGGAGATCGTGGAAGCTGAGGCTGAGAACGACGTTTCGCAGGACCAGTCGGTTTCTTGAACGTTTCATCAGAGGCATTCCAACCCGGCCGTTGACTCCTCCTTCGGTAAGGAATCTCTAAGTCTGTGGCTTCCGTCGCACTGTCTTCCGTGTCGACTTCTGCCGAACGACTCAAATCATGCCCACGATGCACCGACGGAATCGGTTCCGATTTCCTCGGCATCCGGGAACTCCTTCGCCTTCCCCCCGGATCGTGTTCCGGCTCGCTGTCATCAGAGCTGAACAACGCTTTCGGCGTGGCAGACCTCCGGCGAGTCCTTTTCTGCTCCCCGGCCAACTTAGCCAACTTATTCAGATAGACCTTTCGAGTCGAATCGGTGATAGGGCCGATGTTCTCGCCTAAATCTATCAGTCGTTGTCGCAAATCTCCATCGGAGAGTGCAGCGATGTCACCGGGCAACGCCATTTTTCCACTGAGCGGTGTGAAAGGGCTGCCGGATCTCAGTTTCCTTTTCCCAGAACAAATCGATCTTTTCGTCTCGCAGACATCGGCAATCGATAAATATATTCATTTTATGGAGTGAAAAACCATTTCTAAGATTAATGGCACAATTATTGCTGAAAATCTCACGACTCATAAACATTATTGACTTGATGTGATCTCTCAACCCTGCCGTGCCGGCAGGTGAAACTGCGCATGCACAAGAGGAACCGTTCCCTGAGCAATGTCAGTGGCTCTCCCTGTGGAAAGCACAGCTCTGAGTATGTTCTATAGCTCCTCTTACGATCGGTGCAGCCCCCGTGGCCTAATGGATAAGGCATCGGTCTCCTAAACCGGGGATTGCGGGTTCGAGTCCCGCCGGGGGTATTTTTGCTTTTTTTTCTCATTTTGCGCCCATCAACCTACTTTCCTTTCTCTTCTCGGTTGCAAGGATATTCACGAGAAGTTCGGTAATCAACGATTCGCAGTCCCGAATCTGGGATACGCCAGAACGCACAGCATAAAATACGTGATGGGACTTTCGCGTTGGGACAAGGAGACAAGAAAGTATGACCTACGACTCCTCACGTTTCCTGTCGTGTTCCATACGAAGGCCATTCATCCCCACGCCGTTTTTGGGACTGGAAAGGCCCTCTCTGATATGGAAAAACCAGGGCCATTCATCCCCGAGCCGTTTTGGGACTAGAAAGACCCCCTGATATGGGAAACCTAGGCCATTCATTAAGACCCTTATCACCCTTACCGGGTGGAGCCCCATTAGCAACTCAGCGGAGGCTGAAACGGGGATTGCCTTATCTTTATTTCTCTCTCGACAATGAAATGTGACAATCTCAACAACGCGCAATCAATCAAAGGCACTCGATCCGGCCGAATTCCCACAGCGATCGTGAAAGTCAGCTCAGCCCGATGACGTCACCGTGACGTCACGCCCGTCGTCGTAATCGAGGCCAGCTGGAAGGAAGGACGCACGAGGGCTCGCCCACTGGGATCAGTCCGCTCGGGGTGCTCGCTCGGGGAGGTTCCCGCGCAGTCGGTCGTGATGCGAGGATGCGTGCGTGAGAAGAACCGGAGATGAGGATGGCAAAGTTCGTCAGCGGGCGATTCCGGAGCAGTTCGGGCGATCGGAACGGGGCAGAGAAGCAAGAAAAGCCCAAGATCCACCCGTTGGACAATCTCATGCGCGAGCTGACGGAGATGGGTCGCCCCGAGACTGGTCGCCCCGAGACGGGTCGCCCGGACAAGCCCTCCCCGGACTCCCAGAGGATCTGGTCGAAGCCGCCTCGTCCCTCGCCGACGTCTTCGCGAACCGCGCGGATCCGCCCCACGGCGACGACGAACGGCTCCTTCCAGTCCGACTTCAGCCTCGAAGAGGAACTGGAAGAAACGAGTTCCGCGCTGAAACGAAGCCAGAAGGAACTGCAAGACGCACGAAACGACTTGAACGAAGCGAGGTCCCAGCTCGCCGACACGCAGTACCGCCTTCAGTGCACGCAGGTGAGTAAAACCGTGCTCCGTATTAATTTATACCATTTCATACCGGTATATAAATGGCCCGGGGCCGATTGTGAATGATAGCGGGGTCGGTTGCCAATTTGCGCTGCAGGTGATAAATGAGTCGGTAGAAGGGGAGGGAGTCCATCGATAACCTGCGTTTTGCGATCATAAACGAGCGAAATTTATAATAGGGGGGAGGAGCAGGTTTTTATTCCGACGAAAGGGAAGGGGCGTGACGGACGCGATGGGGGCCCCAGCGGGGATATTCCTGAATTTTCCAGTCGGAGGGAGGGGGGGAGACATGGGGGAGGGGGCGGGGGGGGGGGAGGGTTCTCTCGTGTTCGTGGAGGATTGATGGCTGCACCCTGGAGCTCAGAGATTGGGCAGCGCCCTTTTTCTCCTCTCTTCACGGGAAAGGGATCGCTCGAGACTTCGATGAGGGCGAGGTGTCGTTTGTTGTGGCTGGGGAATGAATCGCTGGTGACATGGGCACGGGTGGGGGCAACGAAGGGAGGAAGGAACTCGAGAACATTTATCCACTTGCAATACTGGGGTTGAAGCCATTTTTCTCTTTTTAAGAAGTAGTTAGGCATTTAAATTAAATTTAAAAAAATAAAACCAAGTCTTGAAATAACGAGGCATTTTCTTAAAACATGAAAATAAAATATTTATTATAAAATACCAGTAAAATGCATATCCCCTCCCCCCAGGTGCAACTGAACCAACGAGACACAGAGCTCCACCGCACCCGGGCGAACCTCCAAGACGCCCACAGCCTCCTGAGCGCCTGCCGGGTGGAGCTGCAGCGGCTCCAGCGGGAGCTGCAGGACGCCCAGGACCGACTCAGGGAGTCCCAGGACCACCTCGTCGAGTGGGAGCGGGATGCCCTGAGGAAGGAGGCGCTCATCCAACGACTCGCCGTTCAGAGGTCTGCTTTTCCATTTTATATTCACTTTTAAAAAAAATTAATATTCTTATTTTATACTCATTTTTATTGTTTTATTTTCGGTTAAATTTTTATTTTTTATATTAAATATTCATATTTGTATTGTGTTTCTTATATATTTTATATTGTATTTTAACTTGTATATATTTTTCAATTTAAAAATTATCGTGTAATTTAAAAAAATAGGAAATTGGCCACAATTGGCCGGGACCGGCCATAACGGTCGGTAAATCCAGCGCTTCCCAATCTCAAGCGGTTTATCTCGCGCCGCGTAAACGAAACCCGAGCGATTATCCGAGGTGTAGCCCCTCGCAAACGAGCGGGATTTACGAGGCTCGTTCTCGCCACGACTTCGCCTCACCCTCTCATTATGACAATTCCAGGACTTAAAAAAAAAAAAAAAAGATTTGGATGCGTGGGCGGAGAGTGAATAATTTGCATGGGCGGGAGCCGGGATCACCGGGATTTATCGCCTCGTTGCGCAAGATCGACGAGCGATCATCCATCGGATTTTGTTATCTCACGCCCGATGTCACACCGCGGTTACACGGGAAGCGTTTCTCCTTTCTCTCAAAGAGAAATTTGAAGTGCGGAAGCAAACAATGATGTTTAGGGATCCGCCTACGTTCTTTGACGTGACCGCGCGGTTTTCGGCCGGTTTTTTTGCTTTCCCACGTTGATAACCTCGGAGAGAGATAACGACGGGAAATAAATTACTAAAATTAGTTAATTGCTCAAATTAGTTAATTATGCAATTAGTTTATTATTCGAGCGTGCTTCGATTATTATATTTGGGTGACGAAATCCCGGCGCGGTCGGTCGAATAACCGGTCGGTTAAGGAGAAATATGACACCGGATGGATGCTCGACTGCTTCGCGAGTGCCTCCCGAGAGGAATTCCATTTCACTTTTATTTGTTTTTTATTAAGACGTCTTCCGTACTCGTAAGTACCGTTCTTTGTTAACCGAAGAGTAACCGCACGGTCAGTCGTGAAAGAACAGCCGGAAGCCATTAACCGCGCGTTGTGTGAGGCCGGGTCGCGTTTCATTTATTCTTTTTTTATTTTTTTTAAATTTTTTTTTATGCCAATGAGACGTGGAGGGAATTCGTGCTGGGGCTTGCGAAATGCCTTTTCCGTGTCCCGGGACAGCGGGACAGCGGGACAGCGGGACAGGGACAAGGACTTCGCTCGATAGTAATTGGGGGAAAGGGGTAAGCCCGTGCGGGGGAGGTTAAAAATATATATATATTAAAATTCAATGTAAAAAAAAAAAAAGAAAAAAAAAATCCGGTTTGGTGCCGGGACTGTTTGTCTTTCATCACGGCGGGTTCACGACCCCCCGGCATGACTCGCAAAGGAGTGAAAAAAAAATTATATATATAAAAAAAGAAAACGGTGTGGTCATGGCGGGTGTTGCGAGAGCGGCCGAGGGGAGAGCCGGATCAATGCGGTTTCGGATTCTTAATAAATCCGAGGGTCGCACGCACGCGCGTTTTGTGCGTTTCACGCCGGGTCAGAGAGATCGTCGTCGATGTTGAGGCGTATTGATGAATATATAATAGATTAATAATATGTAATAATTGTATATTTGTGCCTAAGATGTCTATAATAAGTATAAGTGAGTATATAATAATTGTAAATAAGTATATAATAAATACATAACATATGTGTAATTAAAAAAATATATATATATAATATGACTTTACGGTTAAAGTGATTTACTGATCGGTCCAGACGACCTTCTCCTAAAGACATTTTAATGGGGCCGCTTTCGAACCTGCCGTGTAGAAGGCGGGGTGGAAGGCGGGGGCGAAGGCGGGGGCGAAGTCGCGTTTAAAAACGGTTTATCGGCTCGTCACCGCAATTAGGAGGGATGAAAAAAAAGGTAATTAAGAGGGTTGGTGTTAATTAGGGGGGAAGTTCTGGGAATTTCTCTGTGAGTTTTGGGGCGTGAGGAGAATAATTGATAGCGGTAATAATAATGGTAATAATAAATTCTCTTCCTTGACAATGAGGCCCTTGATTGGAGTGGAAATCGATAGATGAACCCGAGGTCAGACGCCTGAGGCCTTCTCTTTTCCGGCCCTCAGCCCTTTATGGAACGCGAACGAGGTGGAAATTTAAACCGCGGCTAGATCGCACGCGTGCGGCGGTTTATTCTGCTCGGGGAAGATGGCACGCACGCACGCCCGTCGAGGAATTGTCTAAAACGCGGAAACGGCTCGAGAGACCGAAAATTCCTTCGAGGTATTCTATCCCATCCGCATCGCGGAAGTCGCCGGTATCAGATTCCACAACGCCGCGAAACGTGAAAGAAAAGAAGAAAAGATATATAAATGAAAGAAAGGAAGAATAAGATGCCAGCGGTGTCTCGAAGCGAAGACGGACAATAATGTATAACTCGGCACTCCCACCCCGATAAGGGGGTTAATGAGACTCCAAGAGTGAAACATCTCCGTTGCGCCATGAGGGTGACGAAAGGCCCCCCCGACCGCCCCCCTTTCTGGCCCCCTCCCCCCCGACCGCCCCCCTCGCCCTCCAAAGGTCATTTGTGACAAGGTGGGAACGATCATAACGGAAACGATAATCTTTATTATCCTTAATGACCTTTAATGACCTTTAATGACAGCCCCGACGACGGAAAGGTCCCGCCCTCGCCGGCATTCCTCTCAATTTCTGCAATCAACATGCAAAAAATATGCAAGCCCGGCGAAAATCGGGAACGCAATCCGATTAAAAATTCAGGAGACCGGAATTCCGGAATTCCCAATCCGGAATTCCCTTTCCGGAATTTCCATTTCGGAAGGAAATGAATTTCCCCCCCCCGTCCCCACCCGCATTCCCATGACGTCATATGCAAATGAGAAGGAGGAATTTCTGAAAGGGTGTTGTCTCGAGATGAAACCTTGCGGGCGGACAGGAGAAACCGACGTCCTGCCCAAAGTCCAAGGTCCTTTATTAAAAAAGAAATGAAGGACCTTGGACTTCGGGACATATTCTTATAAATAACGATTTTATATGGTTTTTTAATACTTATTTTTTGCTTTTTATTTTATAGATATTTAAAATAAGCTTTTTCCAATATATTCTTGAGCTTAAAATTTTAACTTTAAATAAATTTGCATTTTAGAAAATTTCCAGATAAATATTTTAAATAAATACCATGAAACAGAATTTATATGAGTAATTTATTCTCGCCCGCTCCCGAAAAAGAAACAAACAAACATGTCCCCCCCTCGCCCCCCCTCGCCCCCTCTTTCCCCAAGAACGTGTCACTTCCGCCGACACTCGATCCTCCCCCTTTCGCGAGGGGTCGTAACGATGTCGACCCACGCCGACTCGAGTCGACTCCGATGGCAATCTCCGGAATTTACGTCTTTTGTTTCTTCCCCGTCGCCGGAAACGATCGTAAAGCTCCCAGTCGGCCCCGACCAGCCCCGCCCCGCCCCGTTCGTCTCCTCGAGATCCGTAAATGGTGATACTGTTAATTTAATGGAGGCACTTCCTATAAATATTCTGGTATGGAGATGATAAAGAAAAACAGGTTGAAGGAAGAATTATACAGATGCATAACTATAAATAAATATAAATGTATATAATCTTTATAAATATGCTTTGTATGTATATAATTGTATGTAAGCAGAAAGCACATGTGAGTGAATGAAGAGAGTGGCGCGGGGGGGGAGGGGAGGGGGGGGGGAAACGGAGTGAGTTTCGGTTGCTGAGATGGAGTTCACGCCCGTCTCGAGTGTCATCGGAGCGGCACGTGGCACGTTAGGCGGAGGGAACCGGCACGGAGAGTGCAGGAATCTTCTCAATCTGGGGACCACATGGTGCTCTGTGCCTCTCCTTGGCATTTCTCGCCAGGTCGGGACGATATGGTCGAGGGAGGGAGGGGGGGGGGCCGGGGGTCCGGGGGGCGTGAACGTGGCGTGCGGGAACGTGGTGTGCGTGCGTTGATGTTTAGGCGGATCCCGCAGAAAATATAGTCCGAAGCGTTCTCTGATACAAGTTCACCTTTCGAAGGCGTCAATCGAAGGCCATCAATCGAGGGTCGTTCGGAGCCACGGGCCGATCCGCCGGAATAATCAGCTGGAGGCGTGATGGCACGGATCTGAAGCACGTCTCCACGCACTACGCGGTTTTTTTTTTCTCTTCGCAGTTTTTTTTTTCGTTTAGCAGTTTTTTTTTCCAGGGGGGGGGGGGGCAAAGGGGGGGGAGGGGGACACCCCGCGATGCGATTTATGGCGCAACGCCTTCTTTTTCTCCCCATTTTTCAAAGCCCTTTTTTCCCCCAACAAAACTCTTCTCGAGGACGACTCAATCGAAGTCCTCGAAGTCCTCGGACCGAGAGGCCCTTATACAGGATTCATTAAGCGAACCAGATCCGCCTATATATGGAAATCGCCTCGCATCCCCCGCCGAGCCCGATTCCAACTATGGAATGCCCCCCCCTCATGTCCCCCCTCCGGAAACGGGACTCACAACGAGGGCATTCATTCGCGGAAATCCGGATGAAAGAGAGAGAGAAGGGAAGCTTGCTTTCTCTCGCTTAAGAAAGACTTAAGAAAGAAGAAAAAAAGGTTGCACGTTGACCTTTGCCCGCGATGATTGTTTCTCGTTCCCGCCGTAATTGAAGCGGGTCAGGCGAAATGCACCGCGCCGGAGGCGAAGGTGTGCATCATCTCGATCCCATTTCCATCCCATTTCAGTTCCATTTCAACTCCATTTCAACTCCATTTCAGTTCCGTCTCAGACGGAGAAACGTTCGATCGGTTAGCAACGGAATGGGGTCCGTGCCCGCCCACGCGCATGCGACTCAGCAAAAAAAAAAAGAATGAAAAAGATGAGTCACCGTCGATGGACACATTTACGCCCACGCGGGGAGAGTGAATGGAGACGCGGGGCGAGTGAATGGATTCGCGGGGCGAGTCCGTCATTAGTCCCCCGTCCTTTTCCCGCTTCCTTCAAGAAGGGGAGAGAGAAAAGGGAATTATTCATAAAAACATTCATGTGACTGATCCCCCTCTCCCCCAAGACAGATAGAGGCAACGGAACTTTCCCTTCTTTCACATTTTTTTTTTCTTTTTTTCCTTTTTTTTTTCTTTTTTTTCTTTCCGCGGAACGGAATGCATTAAGCCTCCCGAGCGAGCCTCCCATGAGCCCCCTCAAGCAAAAAAAAAAAAAAAACACACTCACACCCTAACCCCATAACATCCAACACAACAATATAATAAAATATATAACACATATATCTGCATATACCAGGAAGCGACTGCTCGGCGACCTCCAGAAGACGCGCAACCTCCTGGCGGCGAGCCTCCTCCGCGTCCGGCAGCTGGAGAGCGAGTCTCAGCGGGTCCCCGCCCTCGAGGCGAGGATCTTGCAACTCGAACGGGAGCAAAGGTCAGTTCTCTCCCGATTAAAGGTCATTTCTCTCTCCGATTGCAGGGAGGTTCTCCGAGGTTCTCCGTTTCCGGGGGAAACGACAAGTCAGGAAAGGACGCAAAAAATATGTATATTATTTTATTTATATTTATAAATATCTTTTTTTATTTAATGAAATTATGCGATTTTCTCGAATTTTATTATTTTCCCGTTTTATTAAATTAATTTTTTTTTCTGGGGAAATTCCGACACGGCCGGAAACGTCCCCAAACCTGGAAGTCCCCGTTGCCCCGATCCCCTCGCAACGCGACCTTGAGCACGTCGCTTGCGAAGGCGAGGGGCGAGGCGCGCTTTCCCCTATTTCCCTAAAAAAAAAGGAAAATAAAAAATAAAAAAAGGAAGAAAATTGTGAACCGGGTCACATATCTGCCTCATCTCCACCCTTTCCCCCCTCGGTTCATTATCCAGTGCCTTATCTCCTTCCACAAGGACAATTAAACGCGACGCGGGGAACAATGGGGCCCGTGTGCGCAATGCGACAGGCGTAACGGATGGCTTCGGCCTTGCGCAACAGGCGCGACGAATATTTCTACTTTTTTTTATTTATTTTTTTAATATGAGTCACTGGAGTTCGTTCCCCCGGATTTTTTTTTCCCTTCAGGTGAAGTTGTTGATGTTGGCGGGGGAGGGAAGTGTGTCATCTGGGGATTCCCACGGGTTTGCCCCGTTCGCTGATGGGGTGTCTGTCACCTGAGCGCCCCGAGTGGGCTAATGGGGCCCGGCATTCCCAGGAGAGATGTTTTCTGCCTTTTTTTTGCAAAACGCAGAGGGAAAACGCAAAACGCGAACGCGTTTTGCGTTTTGCTTCCCTCGGCGAAGAAACAGTCTTGGCAAATTTGGGTTAGCAAATAACTATGCAAAAAAAATTTTTGTATTGTTAGAAGCTTTTCGATTCGGAATTCGATCGCTTCACGAGGCGCAGTGAAATGTTGCGTCTTCGTGGCGCCTGGGGCGATGAAAGCACTCGAGATCGAGAGCCGAGAGGAGCAACCAAGCCGAGAGGAGCAGCCAGGTCGAGAGCGGCCGCGTTCGCGGGTGAATACGATCCTCGCTATCGGACCAATCGCTATCTACCCCGTACGAGTGGAAATGCTAGAACGGGGTGCGCCATGAGTGAGGGCACGGAGCGCCAATAACGAGGGCACGGAGCGCCGATAACGAGGGCACGGAGCACCAATGGCGGGGGCACGGACCGCGTGGAAGCCGTGCACTCGGGATCAGCCGAAGGAGCGTTGTGCAATAATCCTTTGAGAAGCCTTCGCACTGTTGCACAAGTGAAAGAACGTTTCGGAAATCTCACGTTTCGTCAGGGGTTGCTTCCGCCGACCGAGTGCGATCGCGAGCGATCGCGGGCGATGGATCGCGTTTCGGTGCGGTGTGAAACCGAAATCGATGAGAAATTCGGGGGGAAACGTGCAGACTCGTGAAACACCCCGTGTGTAGCGGGAAGAGGAGACTTCCGCCTGCCCTGCCAAGGCAAGCAAAGGAAAAGGCCGATATTTTTAGTTCACTTTAACATCCCCGTGACCAAATAAACCCCCAGAGTCTCTCTCTCTCTCTTCCGCAAGCCGGCCCCGCTCGTTCGAGATAAGAGCCCGAAAGTAAATTATTGCGGGGCTCTTATTATTAGGGGGTTCTCATCGCATTCCTCGCGATAAGATACCCGACGGTCGTTCTCCCGAAAATGAAAGAAATTCGAGTCGAAATCGAAGACGTTTCCGAACGACGACGCGTCAGGCGAGAACTGTTCGGGGACTGTTCGCAGGGCAGATGTCGGAGGGGACGGGGAGGGGGAAGCGGCGGGGACGAGGGCTGAGGAGGGGAAACCCCGGATCCGGCCCCACTCCGGAGGCGACTCCGGACTCTTCTCCGACGAAGACCCGTCCAAGGAACGCCATTCGGGTGAGTCCATATCGACCCTCGACCGCGAACGACCTCGCCCTGAACGACCCAAACGCTCCACAGATGAGGAAGCAACCGGCTCGCCCGCCCCGCCCAGCCTCCAACAGATGGAGGCCCAGCTGGAGTGGCTCGACGCCCAGTTCCACCGAGCCGAAATGGAATGGGACCAGGTAGGTCTTTCTCCCCCCCCTCCCCCCTTTTACCCCATTCCCCCATCCCCCATCTCTTATCTCGCTATCGGGTCTTCCCCCCACTCCGCCCGGGTAGGAGAGGCACCTGCTGGTGACAGAGCTGAAAGGGAGCCAAGACACGGTGGAAGCGCTGACGACCGAGATCAGGCAGCTGGACGCCGAGAGGATCCGACTCCTGGAATTGGAGCAACGCCTTCGCGACGTCCTTCACGCTCTCCGGGAACTGGATCAGATGGTGCGCTCACGCCCTCTTCCGATGCCTCTCCCAAAGGGTGTTCCACGGGGGTAGTGACGTCATCGAATTGCCTTGCGTTTCCGCGCGTTGTGATGAAACCGTGCAATCGGCGAAGATCGAAATCTTTCAGATATCGATTACGTCAGACTACATTCCCGTGGAGTACTCTTGCTGGGAGTTGCATGGACTAAATAGCCAACTGCTTGGATTTTCGACTCATACACGATGATGCGGACTGTGCTCTTTCGTCCCCACAATTCCCTCAGATATCGCTTAGAAAGCACCAAAACTATACAATTAACTCATTAATTTCTTCAGAGCATCACAAATGCAAGTCATCTAAGTCTTGCTTCGCAATCTATAGTAAAAACACGAGAATCGCAGTCTCACAGTCACCACCATGCCTTACAACATCTACTTACAAGACACAGAATCAGGCAAACCCCTCTTGTTAACAGAACGTGTCCCGCCGAGCTCTGGGTCGCCTGATCATGGCAGCGGTGGAGCAGAGCGTGGACCCCCTCACCCACGAGTGCTGCCCCACCCGATTCCTCAGCCACCTCCACCACAGCGCCCAGCACTTCGAGCGCCACGACGATCTCATGCGCTTGGCCCTCCTGAGACAGTCTACCATCACCTAACCGCGACGACCTGCTCACGACCGTCACCTCGTGGTGACGGCGGCAGCAGAGAGCTTGGTCCTGTTCTGAAGACGTTGTGTTCAACAGGTAACTCATTTGAGTGTTTTTTTTTTTCAGTTTTATATCGGTCATAAATTATATTACAAATCTGAGAAAATGCGTTTATATTCTTCAGAAAAACCCAAAAATGCCCCCAAAGGAGTCATTTATTTACTTTGCAAGAATACACAAATTCAGTCTCACTATTCAGAGTAATAAAAGCCTCATATTAGTCAATGCTCACAGGTGCACATGAATACAGAGGTGTAAACTGCGCTAATGAATTGCTATACAGTGACATAATTCTGCATTGCCATGCAAACCTTTCTGGAAATGTAGTAACATACTGTCCTATTAGCAGGGGTCAATGAGGTGGCAGGGGAGCCACAGAAGCAAAATGAGAAGAGTTTAGACTTCTAATTGAGAGTCCTATTGTTCATTACAGTCCTATGTGGCCTTATTATCACAGTTCATCTTCATCTTTGATATCACATGATGGACAAGGTGTCTTCCAAGATGCGAAAGAAAGTCTAGATAATGAGAAAAGACCTAAAGAGACATCAAAGATCCAGAGAAGAATAATTGCTGCAGTCTAAGCAAATGAAAGTACAGCCAATAGGATATAAAGCCTAAAATTCAAGCAAAACCAACTGATGGTGGAGAAATTGGCACCTCAGACTGCTGAGCTATCTCATTGAACTCTATGTTGCTGAGATGAACAGTTCTTAGTAAGGTTGGAGGTGATTGAGCAGATTGAGGTTGATCACTTTCATCTTTGGTTGTCATGCAAGAAATTTCAAGTAACAGGCAAATCTTGCAATAAGAGAAGATAAACTTTAGGAACTGATTAAGCAGGCCTCTACAAGTTACCTCAGTAATTAATGATAGAAGTGTCATGTTGAATAGGAACTACTATGAAACAGGCTACAGCTAAATGAAAAATATGAAGTATGGAACATACACTCAAAAACATAATGGTAGGCAGTCTCCACATCAAGGAAACAAAATCAGTGCAAGAGCTCTGTCATAAGAGAATTTGTCTGCAGTTTAGAATGAAGTGAATAAAAACAAACGACAGAGGAAAGTTACCCCTCCTACTTGTACAAGACAAGGAAGCTTGGGTCTCTCTCCACTCGATTTTCCATGTCGGCTGTGGGCAGCCCGGTCTTGCAGCAGATGGCATCCAGAGAGTGCATTCCATCTGAAAGTCTGGTGAGGCTGTTGCTCACCAGCGGTCGGCCTGGCTCTCCCACATAAACTGGATGCTGGATGCACCACATACAATGAGGGCCTCAACAGAGAAAAAAATAACTGTCATATTCAAAGATCTCCTTACCTTCTGAAGTCGCCGGATGATGTCGTGAAGGAGTCCAAACTGGATGAGTCGGCGTTCATCAATGCCGAGATTATGTGGATTGTTTCGGATGCACAAATCCCTGATCGTGATCCCGGGCTCCATGGCACAGTAGAGACGCAGAATGTCGTGGATGGCTGGTAGGCGGCGGGGGAACTTGCCCACAAATAACACTGCTTCCTCCTGCAGTGCAGAATCTGTGTACAGCTTCTCGATGTTCGGAGTCACAGCATATGTGTTGCTGTATTGAAAGATGGAGATCACCTTCACTACTCCTTCATATGCGAGATGTTGGATGCAGTTCTTAACGAGGTTCTTGTCCACATCAGCCTGGGCTGCAATCTTGGCCACATGGGCGAATCCATCAATGCGAGCCAGGATCTGCTGGGTTGTGAGATCCCACTTGTCCAGCAGGTGGTACGTGGTACTGCGAACCGCAGGGGTGAGAGCAGATGGTCGGGAAAAGATGGGCACATCGTGGTCGTGGACGGTCGGTGGATCGTTTCGGATGGGGATCACTTTCAGGTTGATGATGTTGGCCTGATCAACTTCAATGGTGCACTGACCTGAGGCATTCAATTCAGTGATCACCTTTTCCATAAGTGAAGGCAAATGTGCCTTTTTCTTCTCATCGGATAAAAACCCAATCCCAGATTCCAGCATTGTTAAGTATTCGGACAGCTTACGGACGATGGGTTCATACTGGACGGTGCGGGAACAGGCATCACAAACAAAGCATAAGTTGAACATGAGCTCATTACGGGCATATTTTGTATGGTCAATAGCCACAGGATGTCCGACGATCTTATAGCCGAGGGCATTCACGGTGACCACGCGGCCCTGGATGGCCCGCTTGGGGATGATATAGACGCTGATGGCATCAAATGCCTCTTTTGGGATACAGTCTGGAACCTGGAATGTGATCTTTGGGCCCACACTTGGGTGGAACTCACTGAAGAAGATGCACCGAATGGGTCCTTCGCGAACGGTTGGCCCTTCCATTGTTGTGCAACCTTCTTACACTTTCAAACCTCAGTGTGAAGCAGTAGAGTTATTAGAACCACCTTTTTCTGCTGTTTCCCAGAAGTAACAGTTGGCACAGATGCAGAGGAGAATTATGGAAATGGCGTTGTAATATATGAGGAGTCTGAACTTCCTATCAACACTACCGAGACGGTACCAGAAGATCTACAGGAGATGGGAAAACAAAGCAATCATTTGTTGGTGGGAAGAATTGAAAATCTAAGAGGAAAGCATGATGAACAGGAATGATTTGTTTGAAGTGGTGAGCTGAGGATGTATACTCTTGCTCTAATACTGGGCGGTGCTATAGATAAAAAAACTTTGATACTTGATGAAATTGACAAGAAATAATATGATATTTATGAATTTTTTTTTCAAAGAAAACACTCTGAATTGTTTCCTGAAAGTTTAGAGCCTAGTTTGTTTGGGTAAAAAGGAACAGTAAAACATCAGTAAGACAATTCTACTTTTCCACATATTATGCTGGTGTGGTTTCAGCACTGCCCAAAAAATATATATTTTTTGGTGAAATATTCCTCTATGGCTGCATTCTTGGCAGTTTTCTTAACTGCACAGTGTCTCCAAGGCTCAGCTGAGTAAGGAAGGCCACAATGCAATGGTGCATTTGAACTGAAGAGAACAGAACTGTAAAAGTTCCCAATGACACAATGAAGTATTCTATATGTGGTCTTTACCCTTTCCAGCTCTCCCTTTGAAACATCTTAGCTGCAATAATTTCTTCCTCAGTCAGCTGTGACATGATGAAATAGCAGAAGCAAGAACAATGTAATGAGAAAGCAGCCATGAAAAATGGCCATTTTGGTAATAAATAAAGCACATCTGTAGAATATTCTTAATACGTTACAGCTTAACTACAAGGAGAAGTTGAATTATCCAACTCGAATTTTAACCCTTTCAGACCTAGCATCAACTTAAAAAGGAAACCACATTTTGTATACTTCTCTTGTGCTTCTTCATGATTCTTATGATGTTGCACCCTGGTCCATAACAATGGACACTATGCAGCATGACTGAACTCTAGGAATTCCTCTGGTTGTCAGTTGAACCATTTTTGCAAACTTGCTAATATTTATTTCCAACTCTAGCTTAAATTCTGATCTGAAAGGATAAACGACTGTAGCTTTTTATCCAAAGAATCTACAAACATGTTTTTCAAGATATATAATTGAGATAAATTTCTGTGATATTAAAAAAATTACATACCTAGCATTACAACAGTATGATTTATAATGTGTCAAACAATGTGCAGAGCTCTAGCACATTTTTGCAGTAGAGTGAACTGTACCTGGAATTTCAGACCTTTCCCATAGCCTGCCATGAGACATTCTGCCAAGAAGGGGAGATGAAGAAATTTGCAGTGAAAAAGTACTGTTGCTTGTTAAATTAGGGGGTGAATTTACAAAAAAGTGGGTTTACTGCTGAAATTTCATAAAGCAGGCAGGATTGCAAGTGAGGAGAGAGTAGCAAAAGCAATTTTGAAATCTGAGAAAGCAGGGCATGGGAAAAAGAATTTAGGTAAAAAGGAAGGGGAGAAGAGAGACTTTCTGTTCAGACCTCATAAAAAAGAGACCATCAATGCTTCAAAGAGGGAATACTTGTGATGGTGATTTATGGCAGAGAAGAGGCTCCTTACTTTACAATATGAGAAAACATGCATGAGGGACATGAGGTGTGGGATAGTTGACAAACACAAAATAGAAAATGATGCTACTCACAACAATGAGATGTGATAACGCGATGAAGAGGATACAAATGCCAAAGAAGACGTTGAGGGCTCGGCCAGAAGTTCCCGCACGGATGAAGGAGGTGAGGAGTGTCCCTAAGACAACGACGAGGGTCAGCACAGTGATGAACAGGTTTACCTGCCACCCCTGTATGGAAGCACAGCAACGTCGTATGAGTGAAAGAGGTTTCAGATGCCCTGTTCGCACAGTTATCGGTGAAGTTGCTCTTTCTGCAGAAATATGCAGGGAAACCTGGGGGGTTTCATCTACACTGCTTGAAACCATGGCTAGGACTGTGTAAGCCTGTCCTATGACATAAGCAGCTATAGAGTGAATTGCATTTTGCCACCTCCTCAGTTTTTATGCTGACTGTCATGACTCGATGGTGCCAAAATGCTCATATGTGGGACAGGGGAGAAATGCATAATTCCACAATCTAGTAGAGGTAAAACACTTTCTCAAGGAAACAACTTGCATGACAGAGAACAATCAATAAGTACAGGGATGTTATAGAGAAATCGCATACAGTTGCTTAACCACAACTATGAAGAGAGCATCAAATGTAGTTGATAATTCACAAAAGAGTTCAACATTTTTTCAATGGTTATCCTGATGCTTGCTAGAAGTCTGTACATGTGGATATGAGGGCTGTGGTTGGACATGCTGCTAAACATGCAAAATATGAAATAAATGATAGGGCAAGCAACATGTTCAGTCATCATCAGGATGACAAATGCTCAAAATGATCATTCATTCCATCTGCTTGTAACCTATGCAGTGTAACTTAACCCTTCACAGCATCATGTTCCCAATACAGAACATACTAAGATTTTTACATAAAATGGATGAAGACTCACTATGTGGCAAATGAGGAATTTCTGAAATAACCTTGATGTCCCTGATAGAGATAATTTTTTTTACATAATTTTTAAATGTATGCTTGTTACCAACTGGGAGCACACTGAAAATACTGGGTCAGTACCATGGCTGAGTAAAAGACCTTTGCCTTTTTTGTCACAAACTTCTTAATTTTTTACTTGTTATATTTCATGTCTAGAAAGTGTGTCATCCATGTTTTCTCCTATATCTTTCTCAAACCTTTAACAAATCCTACCTGTTGCAGTTTTCTTCTTTATGCAAATTCTTCAATTTTGGCAAAAACCTAAATTTGCAATAAAATGATCAAATTTTGGCAATTTGATGCAAAATATCTTACTTTCATGCCTTTAAGGGAATGTATGCAAAATTTGAATGTTTCTCTTCAAGGCTTTCATATTTCATGCAGTAAAGGGTTAAGTGAATGCTAGAGAACCATGGAAATTCTGGGTGTTGGGTGATAGGAAAGGGAAGTTGTATTGAACATCATGTGATTTCCATGTCCTGAGAGATGCAATAACATGTAAGAGACCTACCACCATGGTGATTGTCATCTATCCTGTTCACCTGAGTTGTCCACAGATTGCATCCAGATAGCAAAAAAAGCAAGAAATATTTACTGCCCTGATGAACAATGAATTAAACTTGTCCCATCTCCAATCATTGTATATTCTGCCAAAACCTCTATATTCACAAGTACAGCTATCTGGGAGACTTGGTAGAGAGAAATTGAGAAACAAACAGGAACATGAAGACATAGAGAGAGACAAACATGTTTTAACCATTCCTATTGACAGAGATCAATTAAATTTGTACCATTAACAGAGAAATTGATAGACCTTACAGGTTCATCAGTTTCTCTATTAGTAATAAACTGCATTTGACACTCCCTTCCACAGGCAATACCAAGCAACTTCAAGAGGTTTCTTTAATTAGAACCCTGTATATGAGTAAAAACAATAATAAGCTAATAAAAGGGATATAAGTTAGTAAAACAAGAAAATAAGTATGAAGGAAAAATACACAAATACAGGGAGTTCATATACCTTGATACATGTTTGTGTTGGGATAACTTTTGACTGTAGTCACATACTTTCATGAATTTTCAATTAATTTAAAGATTCAAACTCAACTCAAATTTGATACCTCAATTGCTTGATATTACTTATAATTAATAATTTTTATATTTATATATGATGCTGACAAAACTAACACCATTTTTTCTATTAAAACTCAATGACATTACATGGAAATTTTGAATAAAAAAAAAGAATGTCTAGGGGTCAACATGTTTCTTCAAAGGAAATTCCCTACTGTGGGGAGGCTCCTGGAACATTCTTTCCTTGTTGAAAATGTCAGCATGACTAAGGTATAGGATCACATTCACTCAGTCTTCTTGGTTTCGAGTCCACCAAACTTCTCATTTTGAGACATGTCCTTTGCCATTTCCCTAGAAAGCTGTCTCTTATGAGATACTAATCTGGGAAATTCTGTAGGAAGCATTTATTAGTATCTTCATTGTTCGAGAAGACCTCTGCTTTTTGCTCAATGATGTAACTTTCATTCATTATTAGCAAAAAAAATTACTTTCATAAGAATAAGAGCGCACAGAATTATTTAAAACATTTTTGACATGCTTGGCTGAAATCGCTGTTATTAAAACTCAATTTAAGGATGATTTTTCATAATGCAACAAAAATAACATAAATCCTAGCTGAAAGTTGAGAGTTATAGCAATTCAAATATAGTTTAAGATTTCTGAAAAACCCTGCATATTCCATAAAGAGCACCAGAAGAAATTGAAGCAAGCAGGACAACAGACCCTGGAGTGAGGAGTATCTGGATGGAGGAGAGAGTTTTCTTCACCGGTCCTAACAGTCACAGTTGGTGTGTCGCTCATGGTTGACCGCTTACATCACTCTCTTTTTCCCCTTTCTTCACCCACAACCTAAGGCCAACATCATATAAAACACCAATGTACTGAGCTAAGGAAGCATGCATCATAATGACTTGGATGAGAATTGGTAATAGAGAAGTCACAACTTGGCCAGAGCCCTTTGCCTCTAATGAGGGGAGAACCAGAGGTCTCAGGGCTTCCAGGCTTGTTTCATACTTGCAATAAGGGCTAAATGAACTCCAATTTTGGTAATAAGCAATACAAGCATCAGGTCATCAGAAAATTCATAGAAAGAGCATGGAAAACAAGACCAAACAGAAGAAAGATCAACAGAAAGCAGCCACCATGATCCTGCACGAGAAACATGCCACAACTCAAACAACTGCATCAAAAGTACAACCATACTTTCACTTTTCAAGATCACAGTCAGGAAGATCAAGCAGTGATTATTTTAACAATATGCAAACAATAAGGATTTAGAATTTCAAGTTATAGTTAAATGGATAACAGAGAACTTGAATAAAATTCCATCATTTCTCACCTTTCATTATAAGGACACAAAGGCAACTTGAAAGCCAACAAGAGTGGCATGATAGATCTTCCCCAATACAAGGAAACAGATAAATTAAAGATTCTCAACCTCTTTGCCAAGTATGGGACATTGCCAGTTACTAGGTCACCAGTGAAATAGCTGTAGGGAAACCTTAAAACCTTCAAATTTTCCATATACATTTTCCTTTTTTGATTTTCTTTTTTCCAAGGACAAGGGATAAACAATCAACTCAAATGGAACATTTTAATTGATGGGCAGGTCAGGAAACCCTCATGGTAACCTTCTCATTCTATTCTGAGAATAAAAACAATTTAATTATAGCACATATACAATAGGTGTAATCAGCTGACAAACTGAATGGTGCACTAATAACCATTTACCGACTAGTCACCCTGTTCCTCTTGGCAGATCTGTTTAGATAAGAAGGAACCAGGCCAAATCAAAGCATTTGAGGAGGGGGAAGGACCTTGCCAGGATTCATGAGACCTTTGGGATCAAGGGCATTCTTGATGGCCCACATCACATCCACTCCTCTGTCCCCAATTTCTTCCCTCAGGAATGGGATCTTTCCAATCCCAATCCCATGTTCACCAGTGCATGTCCCCTGCAGCGATAGGGCTTTCCTGCACAATCCAAAGCATTCCAATAACATCATTCAATTGAAAAATGTCATCATCCAGGAACTCATTTGCACAGTATCTTCACAATATGGCACATATCTCAAAACATGTATATGGCTCAGCTATTGCTTCTTATTATATGAAAACATACCTCTTAGGTACACATATGGGATTGTATCTTCCATGTGTGTAGAGCAATTCACACAACACATATACCTTGAGCTGGGCACTGGCAAGTAATGGGAGTTATTCTTTCAAAAATGCACGAACAGAGCAGAGATGAAAATACACTGACGTCTGGAGGCAGGCAACACAGGTTCATATTCCACTGCCCAAGGCATTTTTTTCTTATACTTTTCTCCTCTCCCCTTTTTGCTCAAATACAGAGAAGTAATTTCAGGCTATCATGAGTCTGCAGTTTTTAAAATGAGGTCAAGATTACTATTGAAATTCATGAATTCATCAGTCCCCAGAATAGGTTACTCATATAGCCCTCTAGTACTTCTCTAGCTTTTTCAACCAAATAGTGAAGCCAGCCCTATCACTCAGTCTTTGGTCAGTGCAAAGAAAAATGAGTGTCCTGAAGCAGTGATTCATCAACCCATATTTACACACATTAAGTGCAAATGTAACACATGTGTTACATTTGTGAGCAGTTGGTGATTTCCCAGGGGTTCCTACTCTCAGTATTCTCTTTTTAGACCTGATTGAAGTATTCTGTGAGGTTTGCAAAACAAATTGCTGCCTGTTTCACCCTTTATATCTAAATGCTGGAAAATTGGTTGGGGTACATCTGCACACTATACAAGTAAAGACACTAAAAGACTTAAAACATTCTGGCAACACATTTAACTGGGTCAAGTAGCATGGCACTTATGAAACCCGGTAACCAACAGCATAGATATGGAGAATACGGGCCTACATCACTGTCTTCTGTACATCAACCATGGGTTGGAGTTTCACCTCTAAATTTTTATCTCTTAACTATTTTCCTCACTCTAACTCTGTCACCTGACTGACTGAGCACAAGAGTTGGCCTACCATCAGATTGTTCATACACATGACAAGTCAAACAAACATGAAAAAGTCAAAATATGAGCCACACCGATTCATGAGAGCAGCCACATTCTTGACTCTGTTGAGATCCTCGGAGCCTGGACTCTTGGGATCAAAGAGGATGATGGCGTGAAAGTTCCCATCTCCAACATGGCCCAAGATAGGACCTAAATTAGGGAAGAGAACTGTATGTCTCACAATGACATCACCTCTAAGGGAGCAGGACCCAGTTGGGGCAACTCGTTGGAGATGGGGCTTCACAGTAAGAGTTACATGCAGGTACTGACCGTGCAAACAAGATCCCGAGTTCCTTGGCCTTTGCTTCTTGTCTGGGATCTTCAGGATCAGGTAAAAGAGTGGGGTGAACATTCCCATCTCCAATATGGCCCAAAATAACTCCTGCTCATCAAACAGTCACAACAGCAAGCTCTCATCTACCTTGCTAAATAACCTCAAATGACCATACAATCAATTTCACTGTAACACTTAACATGTCTAGGTTAATGCAGTCATCTCAAGCAGACTTTCTGAATGCCATGCATTGCATGCCATCATCTCTAACCTTCCATTTTCCTTGCATAAAAAGCACAAGAAGTCCATGATCTGATGCTAGGATGGATGTAGAAAATTTCTAGACATCAGTTTTCTGGATATGATTCTGGAAATGTCACTTCTGCCACAGATATGGCACTGTTGACGAAGAGTGGGAGAAGGAGAAAAATGGATTGGGCATGCAATGCCAAACAGGTAAAGGAAAAGAATTCACCAAAACATTTTTTAGAAAGTGCATGAAACACAAACCTTTCAGCAAATTAGCATATATGAGTTCAAATTCACACAATAAAAAAAAAGATTACCTCATATTTGCACACACTAAGATGAAGCTTTTCACACCTACTGCTAATTGTTTAATTTCGAAAACCAGACACCTTTAGCTAATTATCAATTTAGAACCAAAGAGAGCAAAAAGCAGATGTCACATCCATACAAAGTTTGCTGCAAGCTCTCTTGAGACCATCCTCTGCCCCATATATTCTACAAGTCATGAAATATGGCCTTCCCATTTCAAAATTACTCATCATCTCAAGAACAATATAGCACATAATTATTGGTAGGTGTAGGGTTAATGAAGACCATCTTTATGCATGTACATGTGAGTAAATTTGTGAGTGCAGGTTATTTGGAATCCACAGACCTTGACAAGGAATCATCAAGCAACTACAAGCCTCTTGTCATTCCAACAAAGACTCAATTCTACTATTATAAAAAAACTACAATTCAATGAGTCAAATTCAAACTACAACAGTGACTCACCAATCAATCCAGCCTTTTGGATCTCCTCTTTGGCCATCAAAACCATTTCAGTCAGGTGAGACACGGGCACACAGACATCTGTAAGGACAGCCCTTGATCCTGGGCAGAGTGCCCATACGGCATAGAGGAGATCATGCCTCGCCTGCCACAGATGGTTGCGGTCTTCAGCTTCCTTGGCCCATCTAAACTCTGACCCCCCATTTTCCCGTGCCAGATCCGCTGAAAACCACACACACCAAGACAAACGTAGCTATAAATAAGTTTCAAGTTTAGAATGAATGGCAGTCTTCAAAAGACAGCTCATACAAACAAGTTCAGTCTGAGCTTCCACTTCAATTGGAGAACCATGGAACTCAAGAAAGAGAGTTGGAGCAACCTGGTAATCTGTCTGACTATATTTGTTACAGGCATCCAGAGCAATTTCATCCAGGAACTCTGAAAAAAGAAGCTTTCCGTTATCAAAAAGGCATAATAAAATTTTAAAATATAGCCAGCAGAATTGAAGGGCCCCCACCGATCCTAGCAATGGGGACAGCAGATTGCATCACACCGACAGCAGTGTTGATGGCCTCCTTGACTGATGGAAAGGAGCAGACAGCAGACACCATTGATTCTGGCATGGCATGAATGCGAAGAGTTGCCCCTGTGATGAAACCCAGGGTGCCCTCTGAACCAACAAACAAGTTGGTCAGATTGTATCCAGCAGCAGTCTTCCTGGACACAGTCAATATCTTAGATGTAGAAGTCAGTTTGGCTTTTCTTCTTTCAAACTGACATCCTAATGCCATGCAAACTTTCCCATTAGTAGTAATCCCAATAGTAAGATATCATTGACTCAAAACAAGAGATTCATTACAGTTCTTAAAATACAAGGAGTCATTTCAAATTTATTTGAATCTGGGAATTCAGCAGAACTCACTTTGTTCGCCGTCCTTTTCCAGCTGTGTGGAAGATTGTACCATCAGCAAGCACCACTTCCAAGTTCAAAACATTCTCTCTCATCGTACCATATCTGACAGCGTTAGTCCCTGAGGCACTTGTAGCGCACATGCCACAAAGAGATGCATCTGCTCCTGGATCTAGGTACATGAAGATGAAAAACCTAATGGAAGGAGAGAAGTCACAATATAGGCCTATCCACTGACAGTGTCTTGAAGAAAGAACCAACCGATTGGAAACCAAAGGCCATAATCCTTTAGGTGATGGTTTAACATGGTTCTCGTCACACCAGGTTCAAGAGTGACATCAAAGTCATCCACATGGAGGTCTGAGATTCCATTCATTGATGTCAGATCTACACAAACACCCCCCTGAAAACACATATTGACAGTGAATTTAGCTCTGCAACTTTACTGCATGCATGATTCACAATGAGGTTACTTTCGACATGTACCATAAGAGCAGAAACTCCTCCTTCAAGTCCAGTCCCAGTGCCAAAGGGAATCATAGGGACATTGGCCTTTGAGCAAGCCTTAGCAATCTCACTGACGTGTTCTGTGCTTTGAGGCCAAACGACAAGCTCTGGTGCCATGGCAGGGTAAGGACCTTCATCTCGGCCGTGTTGAGACCTCACGGCATCAGATGTTGACACATATTTCTCCCCCACGATGCTCCTGAGATTCTTGATGAAGTTCTCATCGAGTGGCTTCCCATACCCATGAACATTTGCCTACAAATAGGCAATAGAAAAAAAATATGGTACTTAATATACAAAATGTGTGATAACATGACATGATTATGTTTGGTCAGTCAGTCTTCAGCCTGAACTCACATCGGCCACTTGATGATGACCATTCCCAGTTCGAAAGCATTGTCGCAAATGCACCGAGACATTCTTCACACTTCTAAGCGGAGATTGGAAGGTTCGCCTGCACCACGTAGAGTGCGGACGAATAGGCGCTCTCGGAATATAGGATCTCGCAAATGATATGATGTCTCGAGGAAGGAAACGCGAACAGGAGTGACCCTCAGCACGTAAAACGCATGAGTATATAGAGGCCGCCATGATGAATCTTGTGACTCTACGTCGTCTGCTGCGGTAAGAAGATCAGGGTACCAGG